CTTCGCCCCTCTCCCTCCCCTCCCCTCCCCGCTTTCTGCCCCCAGAAAGTTCCCCAGCATTGGTTTCAACAATTTGTTGTTTCTTGCCCCCCCCCCGAGAGGTTTAGTTGATTCTGCCCAGAAAAGGGGAAGCCGAGTGGGGCGGGAAGGAGGGAGGAGGAGGAAGAGGAGGAGGAGGACGACGACGGTCTCTGCGAGGACAACGCGCTCGAGCAGGCACGCTGCACTTCGAGGTTGTTGGGCCCCGCGGCCGCCCTCGGGGCACAATGACAAATGGCCCCATTGGTCCACCTTGGGCAACTTATTTAGACCCCAGGGCCCGGGGCGCGTTATCGACCCCGAGAGCGCTCCAAGAGTACCCTCGATGGCTTCCAGACGGCCCAAGAGGCTTCCAAGACGACCCGAGAGTAGACCGCTCAAGATGGCCTCAAGACGGCTACGAGGCTCATCAGGAAGCCCAAGCGTGCCCCCAAAAGGACTAACAAGAGAGCCATCAGAGGCCCCAATCGTTTCTCGATTTTTGAAAACTTGAGATTCTAGCACACCCGTTCTGTGTTCAGCCGCGCCTCGCACGGCCCAGAGGGACCTCCAAGATCGCCCCAAGACGGCCCCTGAGGCCCTTCCAGAGAGGCCCTAAATAACTAAGCCCAAAGACGAGCCAAGCAAGCCCCAGAACGCGTCACGGGCGCCTCACGATGGGGAGGGCTTCAAGAGGGCCTCAGGAAGGACCAATGACGAGGAGCTCGAACTGTCATTTCGATCCCTCCGACCCAAGAAGACCTTCGTGACCTCGAGCAGGCGCTTCCAAAGTCGCCAAGAGGCCCCCCAACGGCCCTACAAGAGGCCGAAACGCAACCCCAGGCCCCAGGAGGCGCCTAAACGCTCCACAAGGTGGCCCAGAGCACGCGACTGGCGAATCTGTCATATCCGCTTTTCCAGCCCCTGCGCGTTCCAGCCGGGCTCTCCATTTTGCCTTCCCAAATTGCTTACAGGACCCCCAAGTGGTCCCCATGAGGCCACCACGTTGTGCAAAGATGGCCCCAGAGGCCCCCATGATCGCCCAAGATTCCCCAACGAGGCCCCCAAGAGCGCCCCAAGACGGCCCCAGAGGTTTCAACTATTGCCCGAGCAAGCCGAATAATTGCCCTAGGAGGCCCGAGAGCCAGCAAAGACTTTCCCAAGAGGGCCCCAGTAGGCGACACGCCAGCAACGGCAATCGCCCGTGCTGCCAAGTTGTTCCCAAGAGGCCCCCATGGTTTCCAAGCGTTGCCCAAGGGTCTCCTCTGGAGACTTCCCAAAAAGGCCCCACGTATCGTACCCGAGATGCCCCAAGGAGGCCAAAGCCCCCCCCCCCCAAGAAGTCCCCCAGGAAGCTCCGATTTGCATTCGAATCGGCCCTGCACTCCTCGTTGGCACATTCGCAAGTTTCGGCGCGCGTTCCTTGGGCGCGGCTGGAACCCCATCGCGCGCGAAGAGCGCGCGTGGTTCTAGGATGTGTGGATGAACTAATGTATATGTGTATGCATGCATGCATGCATGTATGTTTGTAGGTAGGTCGGTCGATCGGTAGGTAGTAGATACATATATGTATGTGTGTATGTATGTATGCATGCATGCATGTATGTATGTATGTATGGATGGATGGATGGATGGATGGATGGATGGATGGATGTATGTATGTATGTATGTATGTATGTACGCGTGCATATATCCATACATGGATGCATGAATGAATGCGTGTATGTATGTATGTATGTGTGTGTGTGGATGTAGGTATGTGTGTACACATATCTGTATGTACGTATGTATGGTACATGCGTGTATGCCAATATGTATGTCTGCATGCATGCATGCCCGCATGCCCGCATGTATGTATGCATGCATGTATGTATGTATGCGTAGCTGTATGTATGACTGTATGCATGTCCATGCGTCTGGGGCATATACATATAATTATGTGTATGCGTGCATGCATGCATGCACGAGTGTATGCATGTACGTATGTATGATTCCATGCCTGTATACGTGCATTTATGCATGCACATGCGTTTGACGTATATGTGTATGCATGCATGCAGGTACATGTATGTATGTATGTATGTATGTATGTATGTATGTATGCATGCATGCATGCATGCATGCATGTATGTATGTATGTATGTATGTATGTACGTATATATGTATGCATGTATGTGTGTATGTGTGTATGGTTGTGTGTATGTGTCAGTGTATGTATATATATAGGTATGTATGTATGTATGTATGTATGTATGTGTGTGTATGTATGTATGTATGTATGTATGTATGTATGTATGTATGTATGTATGTATGTATGTATGTATGTATATATGCATTTATGTATGTATTAATGCATGTATATATGCATGCGTGCACGCATGTATGTATGTATGTTTGTATATATGTATGTATGTATGTATGTATGTATGTATGTATGTATGTATGTATGTATACATCAGATGTGCAAGTACATAGGTACGTACGTTTGCATGTGTGCATGGTACATATGTATGTATTCATGTGTGCATGTACGCATCTTGTATGTATGTATGCCCGTCAATGGAAGCATGTATGTATGCACAAATGCATGCCTGCCTGCCTGCCTGCATGCATGCATGCATGCATGTACGCATGTGTTTTTTAATGTATGTATGCATGCATGTGTGTGTGTGTGCTGTGATATCTAGGTGGTGCAAGATACGTGGCGCAATCGATGTGGTGCAATACATGCGGCGCAATCTACTGGTGCAATGTATGACGTGCAATGTATGCTGTGCCATCTATGTGGTGCAGTCTATGTTGTGCAATCTATGTGGTGCAATCTAGATGGCGCAGTCTAAGTTGTGCATTTTAGGCGGTGACGGCGACAGCATAGCCTCCAGACCGACAGACAGGCCCAGACGACGGGGGGCGACCAGGCGGCGACGGGGCGGCAACGACTGCCGTATAGCCCAGACGGCGGGCGGCGACGAGGCGCGGCCAGACCGGCCGTCAGGCACACTTCCGTAGAAAAGAAGTAGCAACCTCCTGAGTGCAAGCACTGTTTGGGGAACGGGTCAGAGTTATAGTTGTGGTTTCCGGCCTTCAGTGCTGCATGGTTTCCGGCCCTCGGTGCTGCCGCCCGCCTGCGCTCCTTCACGACTCCAGCGCACCATTTTTCGAAGATCCGTGTGGCCACAGGGCCACGAGCCAAGAGGGGGGATCTCCCGCAATGTGCAATGTGGTGCAATTTGGTATGGCCAGCATCGTTGCGTAAAGACAACGGTGCAATGTGGTATGGCTAGTATGTCAACTATGTCTAGCTGCGCATGGCCCTCCCGTGCAAGTATCCTGGCGAGGGGCACAACCACATGCAGTTGTGACTATCGTCTTCGGTGGAGCTCCGTTTGGTGCCACGAAACGTGTGAGGGGTGTGCCAACATCGGCGGGGAACCGCATGCGAATGTCGCCACTGGGGCCTTAAGTGGAGCTGCCTGTGGGGTCGCGATGCGTGCGAGGGGTGTGCCAAAATGAGCGGGAAACCGTATGCGAACGTCGCAACTGGGGCCTTAGGTGGAGCTCTCGATGGTGTCACGGAACGTGTGGTGTGATTGTGTGTGTGTGTGTGTGCCAAATTGGACGGGGAACCGCATGCGCACGTCGCCACTGGGGCCTTGGATGGAGCTGCCTGTGGGGCCATGACGCGTGTGAGGGATGTGCCGACATGTGCAGGGAACGGCATGCGAACGTCGCCACTGGGGCCTTAGGTGAAGCTCCCTATAGGGGCACGTTGCGTGTGAAGGGGTGTGTCGACACGGGCGGGGAACCACATGCGAACATCGCCGCTGGGGCCTTAGGTGAAGCTCCCTCTGGTGCCAGGAGGAGTATGAAGGGTGTGCCAACAGGGGCGGGAACCGCATGCGAACGTCGCCACTGGGCCTTAGGTGGAGCTGCCTATGGGGCCACGAAGCGTGTGAGGGGTGTGCCGACATAGGCGGGGAACCGCATGCGAACGTCGTCACTGGGGCCTTAGGTGAAGCTCCCCATGGTGCCACGACATGGATGTGGGGTGTGTCGAAATGGGCGGGGAACCGCATGCGAACTTCGCCGCTGGGGCCTTAGGTGGAGCTCCCTATAGGGGCACGAAGCATGTAAAGGGCGGCGGTACTCCTCAGGGTGCCACGGAACGAGTGATGGGTGTGCCAAAATGGACGGGGAACCGCGAGCGAACGTCGCCACTTGGGCCTTCGGTGGAGCTGCCTATGTGGGCACGTAATGTGTGAGTGGTGTGCCGAAATCGGTGAGGAACTGCATGCGAACGTCGCCACTGGGGCCTTCGGTGGAGCTCCCTATCGGGTTACGAAACGCGTGAGGGGTGTGCCGCGATTGTTGCCATGCTGAGGGCAAAGGCAGAGGCAGGGATGGGAGTAGGGAGGAGGGCATTGTGACGAAAGGGCGGGAGGTGAGGTGACGCAGGGCTTTGTCTCGTCAAAAACGAGGACCGAACACCACAGGATGGTTGAGAAAGGCAAACTTAATTTAGAATCCAGTGCCTGTCGGACTCCCTCCGGTGTCGGTTCTTCGACGAGTACTTCGGGTCCGTCCGAGTACCTCGGGTCGTTTGTGTTTTCGCCTGCGTCGGGAGCAAAGGAATGACCGACGCCGTGTAGACTCTAACTTCGAAGCGTGTGGCACGCTCCCGGCAAGGTCGCGATGGCGGCCGCCACTTGTGCTGCTGCCGTTCGCGATGCTCCTGTGCGGGGACGCCCCATGACACCCTGGCCCTGCGGCCTAGCGTGCCTGCGGCGCCACCCCTGCCAGACCGCAGGCGGAGGTGCTGGCCGCGCTGCTTGGGGGGCCTTCCCGGTGACGCGGCCCTCGTGGCGCTTGCCGAGGGCCCGCCGCCGCCGCCGCACGTCGGGGGCGGCGGAGGCAGCGACGGCGTCGTGGTCGTGGTGCCCTACCGCTGCCTCGTGGCCGCGTCCGTGGCCTCGGGAATCGCGATGGCCGCTGGCCTGGCGGTGCTCTCGGCCGCGGGCTTCGGGGCGGCCGGCGTCACCTCTGGCAGCTTGGCGTCGGCGTGGCAGGCCACGATGGTGGGGGGCGCCGTCACGAAGGGCTCGACCGTTGCGTTGCTGCAGTCCGTGTCCATGGGCGGGCTTGGCCTCGCGCAGGGGGTCGTGGTGACTGGCGGGTTGGCCGTGGGCTTTGCAGCCTTCTGCGACCGCGTCGGCCAGCTCGAGGGCCGGCTGGAGGGCTTGGCGGTGCAGACTGCGCGCTGGGCGACGGAGACTGCTGTGGTCATCGGAGGCAGAGTCGTCGAGCTCGACCTGCCTTAGCCTTTGCACAGCCTCCTTGGCACCCTTGTGACCAGAGTGCTGCGAGAGACGCCCTCAACCATCGACAGTGCTTGGCAGGCAGCGCCCTCCGCTGAGAGTGCAAAGCAGGTGGCGGCAGGCGCTGCCAACAGCGCGTGGCAGAAACTGCCCTCCGCTGAGAGTGCAAAGCAGGTGGTGGCAGGCATTGCCGATAGCGCCTGGCAGAAGGTACGCTCCGCTGAGAGTGTAAAGCAGGCGGCGGTAGAGGTCGCCGCCAGCTTCTGGCAGAAAATGCCCTTCCGCTGAGAGTGCAAAGCAGGTGACTTCCTCTCTCTGGATGTGAGGAAGCTCAGGCTGCGACTGACTGCTGGCAGCTGCGTAGGATCGGTCTTACAGCTGGTACAAAAAAAACGAATGCGTATGCAGGACAGTCGGCGCGTAAATTAATAATCGGCACGCCAGCAAGAGCCCCTTATGGAGATGTCTCATCTCCTTGACGGCCCTGGGAATCCGCAGAATCCCTTTGGCACCTCAGGATGCGCAACGATCGAAGACACCAGGCCCCTACATGTCTTACAGCATGACTTCTTATCGTACGCGCCCACGGTGCACATTGGCACAGGAGCGACATCAACTGTATAATTTTTCCCACGAGGCGCCGCCAGATCTGACGCACGCGTTGTTGATAACAAGGAACTTGAGAGCCTGGGCATCGATGCTGGTACAGGATTTGAGCTCATGAAGGCTTCGGCGGGCCCTGAGACCGCACGAAAAGGTAATTCCTGCCTAGGGTCACCCTTGCGTGCAGCCCATAGACCTGTAGCTATTTTGGCGCAGGCGACGCCGTAGTGGCCTATGCCGACGGTTCTACAATATGGCCGCTCCCACGACGTGAGTACAGGGGGCCCGCGCAGTGGGGCCTTGGAGTCATGCCGCTCGGCCAGCCCACCATCCAGGACGCCTTGGTCGGCACGGTGATCGCTGTGGTCCTCTCGGCGCCCGCGTCGGCGGCCCTCGGGGCCGTGGCCGCGGCCGTGGCGGCGTCGACCTCCGCAGCGGCGTCGCGAGGCAGCAGCAGCGTTGCCAGGCTGGCCGCCCGCGGCCGCGCAGCCTTTCGGAGCGGGGGCGAGGCGCTCAAGGCGCGCCCAGTGCCCGAGGGCGGCCGCGAGCGGCGACTGCCAGGGCGGCCCTGGCGGCTGAGGGAGGGCGACGGCGAGCCAGAGTGGCCGACGCCGAGGCTGGTCGGGGCTCAGGCCAGCACGAAGATGAACTTTGCAAGGTCCGCGCAGAGTCCCTGGACCGGCGTTGCCCCCCCGCCCCCCCCCATCCTGCCGCGCTCCGCGCGCCAGGGGCGGCGCCGGAGGCGCCGCCAGAGGGGGCCCAGCGCACAGATCCACAGAATCTGCACGGGGCACGGGAAGTTTATCTTTGTGCCGCCTTTTCTTTGGGATCGCGTGACGCGGGATCAGCGCTGACAGGAGTCAACCAATCCCATCTGGCTGACCCAGGTTGGGGAGCCACGTGGAGCCGGGCCTCTTTTTCCGCACTTTGCTGATCTGGGTTTGGGAGTACTGTGCTGCCAGCCAGGCTCCGCGACAGGGCTCTGGCCGACTCAGGTTTGTGCTAGCCCGGGTTAAGCGTTCCCGAGTCGGGCACGGTGGCGCTCGGAGGGTGATAGAATACCCCCACCCTGCAAAGGCGATTGGCGAATTGCGCTTCTTTGGTTCTTGAGTTCGCGAGGGGGCGCCGCGGCCACAGTTCTTGCGGGCATGCGTCCGCCGGGTCTGGTCCCGGGCCGTGTTCACTCCAGGGTGTGTTGCTAGAGAGTGCTCTGTCCACTCCCGAGACGCCCGCCTCGGTCAGGACGTCCGCAGAGGGTATGTCTGGGCGCCGCAGGCCTCGTCAGGAATGAACTGACGCGCAGTTGTATGTCGTTGGCTTCGATGCTTCTGGGCACTTGTCAGAGGGCGAATCTTTTAGCTGGGAGGGATAGGTCGGACTCCAGATGCCCCCGCGTGCAAGTGAAATGTCTCGTTCCAGCGTTGGCGTAGCTGACCTTGCAAGTATCGAGCAGAAGCGTCTTTGGTTCCTCATCAACCGAAACCTGTAGGGCAGGCACGGCGAGGAGTGTGTGTATATATAATATGCATAAACATATGACATACGCAAGACTGCACTGGCGCTTCGCTCGGTGCACCTTATTTCGGACGCCTCCCCGAAAAATAGTTACCCTGGCCAAGGACCCAAGCATATGCAGTTGTGAATGCCGCGTTGTGGTTACCACTTTCGCTGGAGCTCCCTATAAATCCTACGGGGCCACGAAGCGCGTAAGTGGTGTGCCGTCATGGTGGTGGGGTGCCAAAATAAGGCAGGGAGACAGACGCATGTGGACCCTCCCACTGGTGCCTTCGGTGGAGTGCCTTATGGGGGCACGACACGTGTTAGGGGTGTGCCGACATGGGACTGGGAGACGCATGTGGACCCTGCCATTGGGGCCTTCGGTGGAGCTCCCTATGGGCCACGAAATGCGGTAAGGAGTGGGGGAAACGCATGTGGACCTTGCCACCACAGATTTCAATACTGGGCGAGGGAGACGCATGCAAACTTTGCCACTGGGCCTTCGGTGGAGCTCCCCATGGGCCACGAAACGCTGCACTGGGTGGGGGAGACGTATGCGACATGTGTCACTGGGGCATTCGGTGCAGCTCCATATGGGCCACGAGACGCTGTACTGGGTGGGGGAGACGCATGCGAACTTTGTCACTGGGGCATTCGGTGGAGCCCCCAAATGGGCAACGAGACGCTGCACTGGCTGGGGGAGACGTACGCGAACTTTGTCACGGGGGCATTCGGTTGAGCTCCCTATGGGCCACGAAACCTTGTACTGGGTGGGGAGACGCATGTGAACTTTGCCACTTGGGCCGTCGGTGGAGCTCCCCATGGGCTACGAAACGCTGTGCTCGGTGGGGGAGATGCATGCGAACTTTGCCACTGGAGCATTCGGTGGAGCTTCCCGTGGGCCACGAAACGCTGTAATAAAGGCGGGAGACGCATACGAATTTTGCCACTGGGGCCTCTGGTGGAGCCCCCTTATGGGCCACGAGACTGTACTGGATGGGGGGGGCGCGTGCGGTGTAGCTCCCTATGGGCCATCAAACTCTGTACTGGGTGTGGGGGGGGGACGCATGCTATCTTTGCCACTGGGCCTTCGGTGGAGATTTCTATGGGCCGCGAAACGCTGCACGGGGTTGGGGAGACGCAGCGAATTTTGCCACTGGGATTTTTTCTGGAGCTTACTATGGGCCACGCTGCGTGTGATAGGTGTGCCGAACTGGTTGGCTGATGCGGAGAGCAGAGGCAGGGCAGATGCAGGGAGGAGGGGGAGGAGGAGAGGAGGAGTGGACGCGGGGAGTGCCTCTTCAAAACGAGGATCCAACACCACAGGGTGACTGGGAAATATGTGATCGCTTGCTTGAGCAGAGGGTTTGGACGGGCGATCTGCACAGTTTCCTGATATCTCTGGTGCATGTAGTGAACGTGGTCTTCCAGCGCGCTTGCGCGCTTTTGCGCCGGAGCTGGGACGATAGAGGGATTTTGTTAGACCGCCTTCGTGCCAACCACGGGACCGATTTGGGGCATTCTGGGGGGTTCTTGAAGCCATCTTCGAGCCGTGTGGGTCCGTGTTGGGGGCTCCTGTTTGCTCTCTGGACCCCCATCTGGGTGAGTTGGAGACGGTGGGGACTCAAAGATTTTGTCGTGGGGCGATTCGAAGCGTTTGTGGCCCGTTTCGACTGCAACGTGCGCGCTGCGAGGGCCGATAAGGGGCTTCCAGAACTGTGGATATATCGGGGCGTTTCTTGGGAAATCTCTCGGGAAGCCAGCCCAGGGCCTTCGAAGAGGCGTCCAGAAGGGGTATGTTGAGGGCCCGCTTTGGGCCTCACGGGGGCGCCATGGAGCGTCTGCAGGTCTTTTCAGGACATCTGTGGGTGACCTCGGGGCGGAGGCCTCGAAATCTGAGCTCGAGTCTTCTCTCTCACAGCCTTTTGGGATCCTCTAGGGTTTTTTTTTGATCGTTTTGGCTCTCTTTTGGACCGTCTTGGGGCCCTCTGGGCCTGTCTCGGGGCCGTCTTGGAGGCCTCATGGGTCGGCTTGGGACGATCTCTGAGGGCCTTCTGTGGGTCGTCGTCGGGCGTTCTTTGGGGGGTCTGGGGCCGCTTGGGGCCTTTGTGGGGCTGTTTGGCCGCCTGCCGGGCCGTTTCGGGCCCACTGGCCAAGCTCGGCAGGGGCGTCCATCTGCCCAGAAGGCCCCCGGGATCCTCCGAAAGGGCGTCTGGGCGTCCCTGGGGCCAGGGATCCGGGGTGTCCGGCACGGGTACGGGGGTTTCCGGGTAGTACAGACATCGGAATAGGAGTGTATCTATACAGATGCCCTTTGCGGACACGATGGCGCCCAGGTCGGCCAGGGCGGGACAGTCGCCCAGATCGGCGCGGTCCAGCGACGGGCGCGGCTGCTGCACGGGCAGGGTCTGCACGGTCTGCCCGGTGCAGTGACGACTCCCTTTGGCTCATGTGAGGCCTTTGGCCAGGTAATTCGCACGAGGATCATCTGCGACGGTCTGCTCCTCTGCCGTTGGTCCGTTGCCTCCCCCCCGCGGGCACGAGAGGAGATGGTGGCGGAGGACGAGGAGGAGAGGCGCGTAACCGGGGGGGGAGAGCACGCCGCGCGATTTTCGCAATAGAGCGGCCCTTACTTGAACGCGGAATGTGTGATGCAAGACGCCGGTGATGCTTCTGCGGCACTCGTGGCTCCAGCGTTTTTCCTTGTTTTGCCGAGTCCGATCGGGCATTAGATGGGGATACCGGCACGCGGTGCTCTCCGCTGGACCTCCCAGGCCAGGACTCGCTGCATGTGCTTGCCGACTGAAGGCTGCTTGGGATCCCATCTCGCTTGGCCATCTTCAGTCCACAATGTTGTGCCAGCCGCACCGTGCCGCCCTTCTCCGACAAATAGAAGGCACGAAGGGAAAGGGGTGCAGAATCGTCGCCGAAAAGTGACACACCTGCCTCCTCTCCTTCCTGCCCCCAGAGAATCGTCTCCGAAAAGTGACACACCTGCCTCCTCTCCTTCCTCCCCCCAGGACGCCCCACCTGCAGAGCCGTCGGGGAGAGGCTCTCGGCTGCCCTGGAAGTTCCCGGAAGTTGACTGGAGCCCCTGGAAAGGTACTGGGAGGTCCTTGGAGGCCCCAGGGGTCCTAGAAAGCACTCCTGGATTTTTTTTCTGGGCACGTGGGCTGTGCCTGAAGACCTCTGGAGGCCACTGGAAGCCTTGGGAGCAATCTGGAGGTCCCAGAGGCCCGGGGGGGGGCGGCACCTCGCCTCGGGTGATGATGTCGTTCTTTTGCAGTGCCGTGCAGTCATCCTGCAACCTCGCGCCACCGTGGGTGCTCGCCGCGATGCGCGGTGTGCGTCCCCACCCCGCTCGGCGCCGAGCTGCGCAGGCGCGCACTCTGTATTCGCACGTCGTGTGCACCACTCGGGTGTCGCCAGAGGCCAGTGTCCCAGGCCCAGGGTGGTCCGGCCGGCCTTTGCAGCCCCTCACGAGGCCAAGAGGTCCCCAGGGTCTCCAACCTCGACCGGAACGAGGTGACCCTGGCCCAGGGTGGCCTCAGCTTTCCCAGAGTGGCCTGGCCAGCCTCCACAGCGCCCCTCACGAGGCCCAGAGGCCCCCAGTGGCCCCGGCCCAGGGTGGAAACGAAGCCCCAGCTTTCCCAGGGTGGCCCGGGTGGCATCCAGAGCGCCTCCCCACTGGGGCCAAGAGGTTCCCAGGGGCCCCATCATCGGGCGAAAAGAGGGGGACACCTGGGGGGCCAGGATCGCCTCGTTCACATCTCAGACGGCGGAGTTTCGGCGAAGCCAGGGGAAGCCCAGAGAGCCCAGACCTTCGCCTGGGCGGCGAAGCCGCTCCGTGCGGAGCCGCCTGGCCGAGTCCGTCCTCGGCGAGAGCGCCCAGGCGAAACCGCTCTGGGCGCGAAACCCTCCTGGCGCAACTGCACTCCAACACACGGTTTTTCTCAGGATCGGTGGCTGCGCCGCTCACAGCTCGAGGCGGCTGACGAGCCAAACTGCGTACGGTCCGGGCGCGCGCTGCGTGGAGGCTTCCTCTTGCCATGCGCTGCTTTCAGAGTATTGTTGGCTAGACCCTCAGGCGCCCTCACCACACCCTCACCACACCCTCACCACACCACACCCTCCTGGCGCAACTCGTGGACGGCGCGGCCTCGCGGTCTGGGCTTCTCGGCTAAGATCCGCTCGACGTACGGGGCGACGTTGCGCGGATGCCTCGGTTCGGTGCGTGTCCAGAGGATTGCGTGATTATCCACGGGAGCGCGCCTCGGCATCCAGACCGCGAGGGCTTGGAACGGAGGTTGCGGAGTGAGGTCGAAGTGAAACCTCCGGCGCCCCAACCGGGAATTCGATTTCGTATGACGTGCTTGCGGGCACGACGAGGCGAAATTGCGCGAGTTCGTCCTCTATCAAAGGCCAAGTCAGACAAAAATGAGTCGCCCCCCCGCTGTGGCTGTGGCGCGGGGTTGCCCCGTTGGTTGTCCCGATGGTTGTCTCGATGGTTTTCTTGATGGTTGTCCCGATGATTTTTCCGATGGTTGTTCCGATGGTTGTCCCGATGATTGTTCCGATGGTTGTCTCGATGGATTTCCTGATGTTTGTCCCGATGGTTGTCCCGATGGTTTCCTTGATGGTTTTCCGGTGGTTGCCCCAATGGTTGTCCCAATGGTTGTCCTGATGGTTTTCCCGTTGGTTCTGCGAGGCCACACGCCCGAAAAACATGCGTTATGCGAGGCCCATGGTGCCAAGTCACGCGCTCTGTGAGGTCACGCTGCCAACTCATGCGCTCTGCGAGGCCATAACGCCCAAAACATGCGCGCGGCGACGCCGCAAAACCAAATGGTTGCCAGCGTGGACCCCAACCAGTGAGATCTTGCACCGTGGATGTGTATGCTACGTGTTGCAACCATGTGGTGTAAGCTATGCGGTGCAAGCTGGGTGGTGCAATCTACATGGTGCAATCTGCGTGGTGCAATCTACGTGATGCAAGCTTGGTTGTGCAAACAATGTGGTGCAAGGTACATGGGGTGCAAGCTGTGTGGCGCAATCGACGTGGTGCAAGCGGTGTAAGCCATGTGGTGCAATCTACGTGGTGCACGCTATGTGGTGTGAGCTCCGTGGTGTAAGCCACGTGGTGCAATCTAAGTGGTGCAAGCTGTCGAGGCGCCCACGAGGCGCCCACGGGCGGGCACCAGCCGAAGCCCCAAAGTACCCACCCAGCGCCGGGCGCCCACCGGGCGCCCAGGCCAGGCGCAACCTTGGCACTGTGCCCCAGGCGCGGGGCGCCCACGAGGCGCCCACGGGCGCCCACCTGAATGCAACCACTGTTTGGGGAAAGATGCGCCCTCCGAGGACATATACTCAAACATGCGTTCTGCGTGCACACAATACCGGACATTTCGCTCTGCGGAGCCATGCACCAACAAACGTGGGACCTGCGAGACCGTGATACCAACACAAAGTCACCATGAGAGTCCATAGTACATGACAGGGCCTTGCAGGTTAACTGTAGAAAATAACACGCCCTCCGTGCCAATACCATCAATATTCAACTTTCGGGCCAGCAAATGCACACACCCACACACACACACACACACTGCGCCCTGTGAGCCAACAGGGCAAGCACATGTGCCCTGCGGACCCAAACACCATGACACAGTAATAAACACCAGCGTAACACGGCAGGCACCTACTTACAAGTCAGTGGTCAACAACATAAAGCGGTGCCCCCCATGAGGAGCACATGACAATCAAGGAACACGTAATGAATTCTTTGTATAGCCGAAGGAACACTGTTTCCAGTGAGCATTGGGTAGGTCTGTACATTGATATATTGAAAGATCGATGAACTTAGATGGAGAGACAGTGAGACAGACAGACGGTGAAATCGCTGGATCGTGAGACCGATGGTTGTCCCTGTCCCGATGGTTACCCGAAGGCCATTCTCAGAAAACGTGATCTGCGAGGCCAACACATGTGGAAGCTGTGCTCTGATAGGCCATAGTCCGACCAGCATGTGCTATGCGAGGCCTTACGATCAAGCAAGCGCACTTTGAGAGGCACTCATACATACACCCTACAAAACAACAAACATTTGGTATGACGCATTGCGAGACACAATCGGAATGAATGGTCCCTCGAGGCAACACATAAAGGCACATGCTCATCCATGCTGCCGTTCTGATGTGTGTCCACTCGTGACATGTTTTGCGCGTCCAATGCACATCAGCGCCCCCCAACCTCCTTATCACCCAATGGGGTGGTCTTCTGGGTATGGTTATGCTTTGTATGCGCCTACGGGTCAGAGATGCATCCTCTCTATTGGACAGCGAGAGGGGGGGTCAAGTCGCCATCGCAAGTCAATTTTGACCGCAATTGCGGGGAACAGTTCACCAGGCAGTGTGAGATTGACCGTAACCACGGGGACAACTCACCACGGCAACATGACCTTGACCGAATTGTCGGTCACGCAACGAGCACATCATATGCTCGTGGCTCGGTGAGGATCCGTCCCGGGACGTATCCGCTGCCCTTGGGGCCGTCCCAGCGGCGGCGTCCACCGTACCGGTGGGGCGGGCGTTCCCGCGCCTCTGGGGCGCCTCAGACCCAGACAGGAGCCCCACATGGGGCCTCCTAGAAGGTCCAAGAGGCCCCGAGCTGCTCCAAGCGGGCCCCAATTGAGCCCAGGAGCGACCTTTGGAGAAGAGTTTCAAGGGGCTGGGTGGCTTCGAGAGGCTCCATGTGTGTTTTGGATGCCATGTGGGGGGTAGACGTGGAGGAGGAGGAGGAGGAGGTGAAGGAGAAGGTGCAGGGCCAGGATGTAGGACGAGGAGGAGGAGAAGAGGAGGATGAGCAGGACGAGGTGGATGATGATGCTGATGATGATGATGATGATGATGATGATGATGGTGGTGGTGGTGGTGATGATGATGATGATGCTGATGCTGATGCTGATGCTGAGGATGATGATGACGATGGTGGTGGGGATTAGGATGATGATGACGATGACGATAATATTGATGATGACGATGACCAGGAGGAGGTTGACGATGAGGATGAGGATTATGATGGGGATGGTGGTGGTGGTGATGGTGGTGATGATGATGATGATGATGACGAGGGGGTGATGATGATGATGCTGCTGATATTGATGACGATGATGACGATGACGCTGATGATGAGGACGATGATGGTGTTTAGAATGGTTGACGATGATGATGATGTTGGTGGAGGTGATGGTGGCTATGACGAAGATGATGTTGGTGATGATGATGATGACGCTGATGATGTGGCTGAGAATGGTGATGCGGGTTATCGGAATGAATATGAGGGTGTTGCTGCTGATGATGATGATGCTGATAATGGTGATGATGACGATGATACTGGCGGTTGTGATGATGCTGATGTTGATGGTGGTGCTGCTGATGATGGTGATGATGATGGTAATGATGATGTTGATGTCTAGAACGATGATGGTGATGATCATGATGATGATGGTGGTGATAATGAGGATTATCATGACTATGCAGATGATTATGATGATGCTTATGATGATGATGGTGGCAATGACTATGATGCTGAAGATGATGATGATGATTATGCTGATCCTGATGTCGCTGATGATGAATGTGAAAGTGTTGAAGGTGGTGATGGTGATGACGATGATGAAGGCGGTGATGATTCTGATGGTCATGAGCGACGAGGGTAATAATGATGTTGCGGGTGCTGACGGTGTCGATGATTATGTTGATGATGATGACCTTATTGTTGATGATGATGTTGGTACTGATGACGATGATGATTAGGATGCCGAGGATGATGACGATGATGATGCTTATGGTGATGATGATGATGATGAGGAAGATGATGATCATACTGGTGGTGGTAACGACGACGGTGATGAGGATGCTGCTGATGGTGGTGGTGGTGGTTATGATAATGTTTCTGCTTCTGCTGCTGCCGAAGATCATGCTGACTATGATGATGATAATGATGATTATGAAGACGAATGGTAATGATGACAATGCTGATGCTGACGATGATGATGCATATGATGATGTTGTTGATGATGATGCTGAGTATGATGATGATGATGTTGATGATGATACTGATGATGATACTGATGATGATAATAATGAGGCTGATGATGATGAGGACGGTGATGATGAGGATGAATATGCTGATGGTGCTGCTGATAATGATGATGATCAGGATCAGGGTCAGGAGGATGAGGATGATGATGCTGATGATGCTGATGATGATAATGAGGCTGATGATGATGATGATGATGATGATGATGATGATGATGATGATGATGATGATGATGATGATGATGATGATGATGATGATGATGATGATGATGAGATGAGGAGGAGGAGGAGGAGGAGGAGGAGGAGACTGCCGAAGTGGCGGTGTCGCCTCCAGGCTGGACGCGGCTGTTCCCGGAGCACTCCCGGCGGGACCTCATTTTGGCCTCGGAGTCATACGGCGGTCGCTACGTGGCAGCTTGGCGCCGCTCCCCCTGCTTGCCGCGCTCTGCCCGCCCTCTCCACGCCACCACCTCGGTGAGGCCTCGGGTTGCGCCGAGACAGCCCCCTCAGTTAGTCCCGGCTTGCCCCAACAGGCCCCGCGTGGTCTTGGCGGGCATGTTGAAGCCAGCCTGGGCTTATTCGAAGGGCCTGTAGCGGCCTGCCGAGACCACCCAGGGGGCTTGTCGCTGCGCATCCCGAAGCTTTCCCACAGCACCTTCTCCTTCCTGCGATCTCTTGGTGTGAGTTCGATCTCAGCCCTGTACCACCACAGCGATGCTGCGGTGCCCCGGGCGCTGGCAGTGCCCCGCGCGATCGCGCGAGCAGGGCAGCGAGAGGGCAACGTCTTCAAGGGCGAAGAGCCCCTCGCTCTCTGGCCGTGCTGCTGCTGCTGCGTGCGGATCTCTCCCGCCTGCTGTTGCCCCCCTCCTCCCGCTGCTCGCGCTCCCGCTGCCACGCTTCCGCCTGATGCCGCTCCCGCCTCTGCCTCTACTCGTCACCGCCAGTGATGCTCCCGCTCCGCCGCAGCCGTGTTGGCACAAAATGACAGAAGGATGAGCGCAGAGCGCAGACCATGGCCTCGGCTGGAATTACTAATCCCCCTTCGCGTCGAGTAAGAAGCGCGATGTAAGCACACAAACTTTCGGAGGCCCGCGCGGACCTCCGACAGCTTATGGTTGTGTGCAGTTGTTTTTCTCCTCTATTTTGTGGGGGGACGTGCCTTTGTTCTGTTGGTGACGGCCTGCCGCTTCTCCCGTGAGCCTCCCACCAGCGATTTTGGAAACCGCCCTCACGGATCGCCACGTCATGCCGCCCTTGGTTGCCCGTGGAGATGCGCGTGGTGCTCGGAGACTGCGGTGATGCTGGCCGCGGTGGTGTGCGGCGAGCGGTCGCAGGTGACGGCCACAGGTCCAAGGCAGGGCTCGTTGGCTCGCGATGCAGCGACGTCAGGTTGGCCCACCACGGCGGATCTCCTGGTGGTTACCCTTTGTTTGAAGCATTTCACGTTCTGGGGGCGCTCCAGCCGTCTCGCGGCCCTCCCCTGCCTCCCCTCCTCCCTTCGTCTCCCTGTGTGTCAAATTCGCTGCCATCGCGCCCCGTCGATAGCCGATCGCTTCCTGGATCCAGCTTGCCACAGTGGTGATGCCCGCGGTGCAGGTGCAACTCAAGGCGAGACTGGAGGAGCACCACTGGAGAAGCCGCGGTTGGCCACCTGCGCGGTGCATCCCCGGAGCTCCGTGGAGTCTGTCCACCAGGCGAAGCAACAAAAGTCGGCCACTGATCAGCTCAAAGCCACGGCGGTGACTCTCGAACTCGTCACACGGGAGATGAAAACCCACAGATAGCCAAGATCAGCGAAAGTCGCACCAGGCCACAGCGCGAGCGCATGAACACGTCGGGGGACGTTGAGAATTCGAAGTAGCCGGCCCATGTTACAGACGTCGAAGAAGCCATTGTTTTACCTTGCAACTATGACCATTTCGACGTCCCCAATGGCCACATCTGATTCGATTGCGGACTCATTCATCTTAGGGCCGAAGGTGCTGTGAATACGCGCTTGTAGGGAAAGCTATTCCCCTTTTTGGGGTGCGTGATGCTTAAATCGAAGTGGCTGGCGAGGCGCTCGCCAAACGCTTCAACAGTTACATGCTTGGCACCTCTGCCCTGATCTTTCCGCTTGTGATTGCGCTCCGTACCAGTTGGGCACAGGTCTGTCAGCGAGGTGCAGCTTATCTCTCACATTGGTGGGCGGAGTGGTACTGCCGATCTACACTGGGCACGAGCAGCGGCCCCGCCAGGCAATTACGATGGAATGACGAGACACGTTTGTGCAGTGCATCGGAGCATCGCAGAAACGTGGGAGCCATGTACTCGGAGGCCAGGGCACAACAAGATGCAGGGAACGCTTACAGGTCACTGGGGCTGTGAAGCAACTGCGCCTCTCCGCAGTCCGTTGGCCGTTTTGGTTCAAGATGCATAGTGTTCTTTGTCAATTTCGCCCCTCCTCGTTTTGAAGAGACAGCGCCCCGCGTTCCTTCCTCCTCCCGCTGCCCCCTCCCTCCTCCTCGCATCATCGGCATCATCATCATCATCATCATCATCATCATCATCATCATCATCATCATCATCATCACCATCATCATCATCATCATCAGCATCATCATCATCACCATCATCATCATGATCATCAGCATCATCATCATCATCATCATCATCATCATCATCACCCCCACGAGGATCGTGGCCCCATAAGAGCTCCACCGAAGGCGACAGTAGCAAAGTGCGCATGGCGGCCTCGGGCCATTTCGGCACACCCCTCACGAGGATCGTGGCCCCATAGGAGCTCCACCGAAGGCGCCAGTAGCAAAGTGCGCATGGCGGCCTCGGGCCATTTCGGCACACCCCTCACGAGGATCGTGGCCCCATAGGAGCTCCACCGAAGGCGCCAGTAGCAAAGTGCGCATGGCGGCCTCGGGCCATTTCGGCACACCCCTCTCGAGGATCGTGGCCCCATAGGGAGCTCCACCGAAGGCCCCCAGCGGGCCATTTCGGCACACCCCTCACGAGGATCGTGGCCCCATAGGGAGCGCCACCGAAGGCGCCAGCGGCAGGGTTCGCATTGCGGCCGCGGGCCATTTCGGCACACCCCTCGCGAGGATCGTGGCCACATAGGTAGCTTCACCGAAGGCGCCAGTGGCAGGGTTCGCATGGCGGCCTCGGGCCATTTCGGCACACCCCTCACGAGGATCGTGGCCCCATAGGGAGCTCCACCGAAGGCCCCCAGTGGCAGGGTTCGCATGGCGGCCTCGGGCCATTTCGGCACACCCCTCAGGATCGTGGCCCCATAGGAGCTACACCGAAGGCCCCCAGTGGCAGGGTTCCTATGGCGGCCCTGGGCCATTTCGGCACACCCCTCATGAGGATCGTGGCCCCATAGTTGTGCTGCTTCAACAACCGCGCCTGGGCGTCGTACTCCGCCTTCTCGACGTGCACCGACACCTCCTCCTTCATGGCTCTCAAAGCCCTCTCCTGCTTCTGCTCCTCGGTCAAAGGGACGCCGTCCTTGTCGCCGTCGGCGCCCGCGAAGACGGCCACGAACGTGTTCCTGATTATGTCGGGCTCCGGCGGGAAGCCGTGGCCACATAGGGAGCGCGGGCGAAGATGGTATTCACAATTGCGGTATTCACAACTGCATATGGTTGGGTCCTTCGCCAGGTTAATTTTCAGAGTGCTGCTTTTGCTGAAGCGCTGACTTCATTTTCTGGCTGCCGCTCGTTCCGAATCGTATTCCCGCTGCAGCGCTGGCGTCATTATTCCCAGCGCCATGCCACGGCATGGTTTTCGGTCCTTCCAGGCAAACCCAAAATCTAGAACATTCCCCCCCGCCCCCCCCCGAAACAACTATCGGAAGTGATTCCACATTCGGTGTCGATTCGCTGGTTTTTTGGATCGCAGAAGCCCCCCCCCGCTTTGGGGGCGTCGCCACGCCATGCAATGTCAGGCTACGCGTCCTCCGAATCGTGCTCCCGCTGCAGCGCTGGTCTCATTTCCGCGCTTCCGCTCGCTCCGGATCGTGCTCCCGCTGCGGCGCTGGCGTCATTATTTCCAGCGCCGTGCCACGGCATGATTGTCGATCCTTCCAAATCGGCCCCCAAATTTAGAAAATGCACCCCGAAACAGCTATTGGAAATGATTCCTTATTCGGTGTCGATTCGTTGATTCGTTGGGCCGCAGAAGCCCCCCCCCCCACATTGGGACGTCGCCACGCCATGCTATGTCAGGCTACGCGTTGATCGTCAACACCATGCTATGCCATGTAATGCCATCCGACTGTGCGAGTAGAAGGGGAGATCTAGGCCATGGTAAGGAGGGGAGGAGTGTAGGACGTCAGATATGGCGCGAGCGCACCTAGCTTGCCCTTTTTCCTCTCCCCTCCTCCCCCTCTCCTCCCTCCTCACTCTTCTTTCATCCAGCCTCTCTGCCTTTCTCCCGTCTCCTTCCCCCTGTCCTTCTCCCTTTCTTCGCTCGCAACGTATCGCAACGCATCACAACGCAACGCACCGCAACGAAATGCAACGCAATGCAATGCAACGCAACGCCACGACAACGCATCGCAGTCAGAAACAACGCGGCACAGTGCGCCCGCACGCGCGTCTGCACGCCCTCTCGCCTGCCCGCCCGCTCGCCCATCCGCGCGCCTCCCTTCATCCCATTCCATGCCATTCCATTCCATCCACTCCTCCCCTCATTCCATTCCGTCCATTGTATTCCGTTCCGTTCCGTTCCATTCCGTCCATCCATTCCGTCACACTCCTCCGTTCCCATGTAGTTATTTTGGGTCATACAGCAACTCATTTGGGCCCAGCGGCGTGGATAACCTTACAATATCACTGGAAAGGGCTTGTTGGTTGGTTGTTTGGCTGGCTGGTTGGTTCCCCAGTTGCCAGTTGAGTTGGCGTCCACAGGACAATTCTCGCACGCTCCTCGCACGGATCGCGCCTCGGAGGCCAGATATTTCCCAACCATCCTGTGGTGTTGGGGCCTCGTTTTGAAGAGACAGCGCCCCGCGTTCCTTTCTCCTCCCGCTGCCTCCTCCCTCCCCCTCGCATCATCGTCATCATCATCATCATCACCCTCACGAGGATCGTGGCCCCATAGGAGCTCCACCGAATGCGCCAGTAGCAAAGTGCGCATGGCGGCCTCGGGCCATTTCGGCACCCCCCTCACGAGAATCGGATCGTGGCCCCAGAGGAGCTCCACCGAAGGCGCCATCAGCAAAGTGCGCCTGGCGGCCTCGGGCCATGTCGGCACACCCCTCACGAGGATCGTGGCCCCATAGGAGCTCCACCGAAAGCGCCAATAGCAAAGTGCGCATGGCGGCCTCGGGGCATGTCGGCACACCCCTCACGAGGATCGTGGCCCCATAGGGAGCTCCATCGAAGGCGCCAGTAGCAAAGTGCGCCTGGCGGCCTCGGGCCATTCCGGCACACCCGTCACGAGGATCGGGGCCCCATAGGGAGCTCCACCGAAGGCGCCAGTACCACCGTGCGCATGGCGGCCTCGGGCCATTTCGACACACCCCTCACGAGGATCGTGGCCCCATAAGAGCTCCACCGAAGGCGCCAGTAGCAAAGTGCGCCTGGCGGCCTCGGGCCATTTCGGCACACCCCTCGCGAGGATCGTGGCCACATAGGCGCTCCACCGAAGGCGCCAGTAGCAAAGTGCGCCTGGCGGCCTCGGGCCATTTCGGCACACCCCTCTCGAGGATCGTGGCCCCATAGGGAGCTCCACGGAAGGCGCCAATAGCAAAGTGCGCCTGGCGGCCTCGGGCCATGTCGGCACACCCCTCACGAGGATCGTGGCCCATAGGGAACTCCACCGAAGGCGCCAGTAGCAAAGTGCGTATGGCGGCCTCGGGCCATTTCGGTACACCCCTCACGAGGATCGTGGCCCCATAGGGAGCTCCACCGAAGGCCCCCAGTGGCAGGGTTCCCATGGCGGCCTCGGGCCATTGCGGCACACCCCTCACGAGGATCGTGGCCCCATAGGGAGCTCCACCGAAGGCGCCAGCGGCAGGGTATGCATGGCGGCCTCGGGCCATTTCGGCACACCCCTCGCGATGATCGTGGCCACATAGGGAGCTCCACCGAAGGCGCCAGTGGCAGGTTTCGCATGGCGGCCTCGGGCCATTTCGGCACACCCCTTCGTGGCCCCATAGGGAACTCCATTGAAGGCCCCCAGTGGCAGGGTTCACACGGCGGCCTCGGGCCATGTCGGCACACCCCTCACGAGGATCGTGGCCCCATAGGGAGCTCCACCGAAGGCCCTCACCTCCATAATGGCCCCGGGCCATTTCGGCACACCTCTCACGAGGATCGTGGCCCCATAGTTGTGTTGTTTCAACAACCGCGCCTGGGCGTCGTACTCCGCCTTCTCGACGTGCACCGACACCTCCTCCTTCATGGCTCTTAAAGCCCTCTCCTGCTTCTGCTCCTCGGTCAGAGGGACGCCGTCCTTGTCGTCGTCGGCGCCCGCGAAGACGGCCACAAACGTGTTCCTGAGCATGTCGGGCTCCAGCGGGAAGCCGTGGCCACATAGGGAGCGCGGGCGAAGATGGTATTCACAATTGCGGTATTCACAACTGCATATGGTTGGGTCCTTCGCCAGGCTAATTTTTGACCCAGAAGGGCTTCGCCAGGCTATTTTTTGACCCACATAAACCAGAACGATTTGTTCCCCAGTTAGGTTTGCCTAAGGGCGTCTTCTTTGGGTTTAAAGTTTGGTGCCTCCTATTGTTACTTTGCCCGTTGCTCGGAAGTTCCTCGGGTTTCTCGGGTTCCTCGGTTTCCCCGCCCCCGGTGCCTCCTATTGTTATTTTACCCGTTGCTCGGAAGGTCCTCGGGTTTCTCGGGTTCATCGGGCTTTCGGCCCCGGTGCTTCCTGTTGTTACGTTGCCTGTTTCCCGGAGGTTCTTCGGAATCCTCGGGTTGCCCGCCCCCGGTGCCTCCTATTGATATTTTGCCCCTTCCTCTGAGGTTCCTCGGGTTCCCCTGGTTCCCCGTGTTCCTCGGGTTCCCCGGGGTCCCCGGGTTCCCCGGATTCCTCGGGCTCCCCTGGTTCAGAAGCAGTACCAAGCAAAGGCAATGCCAAGCAACGCCAAGCAGTGCCAAACAATGCCAGGCAATGCCGAGCACCGCGCCCATGCAATAAGAAGTTTTCCCCGAATTGGGGTCGCGCCTGGTTCAGTTTGACCCGCGACCCTCCGTGGCAGCTTCACACGCGACACGTTCTTGCTGCTGATACAGCAGTGTGCGTGCCCGCACGGACTGGGACCCTGCCGCTCCCGAGCTCGTTCCAGGCACTCGCGGCAGGCGATTGGCGAGAATCTCCCCGACCTGGAGTTATTTCTCATCGCAGGAGGGCGCGCGCCCAGGATTCATGATCGGCCCGAGTGCCGTGCGCTCGGCTGTCGGGCACAGAGAGCGGCCGTGGCTCCGGGTGCTTGGGCCTCTGCCCAGATCCGCACAAGCAGCTGCATGGGGAGTACCCCCTTTGCAACACGGGGCCACGTCCGAGCAGTCAGCAGGGCCCCACGGTCCCCTCCTCCGTCGTGACCTCCCCGCCTTGCGGCGAGGCAGCAGCGGGTCCCTTCGGGGCAGTGCGTCGTCTTCGCCCTCCGAGTATTCTTGTGGGTCGGGCGCGGGCCGTCTTCACGGGGCGTCGAGCACCCTGAGGCTCACAGCTCGGTCCGCCGAGGCCGTGGGCTTCGGGGTGCTGATTGGTTAACTGGTGCACTGAGAGCGCCAGGGACCCCGCCCAGCGCTCGGGGCGCCTGGTCAGTAAACAGGTGTTTGCCGAGGCATCTCCTGTTCTTTTCCGGGGGAGGGAACATAGGGGACTCTTGATCCTCAGCACGGCCCCCAGAGGGTTTGTTAAGTCGTGGCGCCTCCACGAGGGCCGAGGCCAAATCCAGAAGCTGAAATTCCGGGTGAGCCACACAGTGCTACAGAGTCGAACATTGCAGGAGCAGCGCCTCGTGAGGCATGGATCTGTGCGCTCAGGATCGAAACGGCACGGATACGTGGCAGTGATCGTGCTGCTGGCTTGGGGGAGGGGCTTGCTGTCGTGCCAGTGTTCTTTCGCTATTTGTACCGCCCCTCAGTTTTCGGGTGGTGCCAGATGTGTCCCTGGGCCAATGTGACCCCAGGTTTTTCAGATGGCCTACAGAGCACTCCTCACGAGGCCCAGAGGGCCCCTTGGAGGCTCCAAGATGGCACGAACAGCTGGGGACACCTTGGGCCAGTGCCAATTTGATCATCACCAATAAGTTCGTCTAGCCATTTCGTAGTACGTGCGCCAAGGTATGCAGCCATGGCGGAGTACAACTCTCGCGCGTCGGACGAGGAGCGCCTGACGACTACAGGGATCATTCTAGGCAACGGCTTCGTCGATGAGGCATCGATGGGCGCGGAGGGCGCAGGATGGAGGACCAGGACAAAGGATGGGCGGGAACATCAATATGAACAGCAGGCGACAGGCGGTGACGAGCATGAATTGTGCTAGTAGTGCTGGCGCAGGTTGTCGTGGAAGCGGTGACGGTGGCGTTGATGGCTGGAGTGGCGACGGTGGTGACGGGGGCGGAGTTGCGCCGACCAGTACGAAACATGTCATGTTCATGTTATCCCAGCGCCTCTCCTGCACCTTCAGAACAGCTTGCCCAGTTTTCAACCCTGCGCATGCACGAGGCTAAGCTGGCAAGGAATGCCTAGCTTTTTCCAAATATTTTGCTTGAAAGCTGGCCTGGTTGTCTCAGAATAGTTTCCACGAGTCATAGCAGTGACCGTAGTGATGGCTGTGATCATTGTGGCCCCATGGGAAGCTCCACCGAACGCCTCAGTGGCAGGGCTCGCATGGCGGCCCCGCCCCATTTTGGCGCACCCCTCACACGGTTCGTGGCCACATTGGGACTTACCCTTGCTTTGTCCCATTTGCCTTGCGGTACTCACATGTGCATATGGTTGGGTCCTTCGCCCAGATATTTTATTTTTTTCTTGTTTTACATTATTCGTTTTCTTCTCATCCTATTTCTCCTCGTCGTTCTCCTCCTCCATCCTCCTCTCTCCCGAGGCTGCGCAGGGCTACAGCTTCACCGAGTTCGCGAGGCGGCAGGGCCTGATCCCGGCGCACAGCGCCCCAACCTCCAGCAAGCAGGCGCGCCGCCCGCGGCAGCGAGGAGTAGGAGGAGGAGGAGGAGGAGGAGGAGGAGGAGGAGGAGGAGGAGGAGGACGAGGAGGAGGACGAGGAGGAGGACGAGGAGGAGGAGGAGGAGGAGGAGGAGGAGGAGGAGGAGGAGGAGGCGGCTGCTGCGGCGGCGGCGGCGGCGGAGGAGGAGGAGGATGCGGCGCACAGCGTTCCAACATCTAGCAATCAGGCGCGCCGCCTTTGGCAGCGAGGGGGAGGGGACGGAGGAGAGGATGGGGAGGGGGACCCGTGAGGAGCGCTTCAGAAAGGGCTTCGCCTTCGGGGAATCGAACGAGTAAACATCTCTTCATGGGTGGACGTCGGCGGCGGAAGGCTGGCGGAAGGCTGCGGAAGCAAAGCGAGGGCTGCAAGTTGTGTTCCATTGTCCCCAGGTCCCATGCTGAGGTTGGCCGCCGAATTTCTGTTCGATCGGATGTTGGGGGGTGAGATCGAAGTGGAACGGAGAGCCCCCCCCACCGGGAAATCGGTTTTGGTTTCGTGTTCGTGCGTGCCGTGCGTGCGGGCGAGGCGAAGCTGCGTGGGCGGGCGAGAGGAAAGTCTCCTGTGCCTGAGGCGCGGCAGGACCAAATGCTTCTCCCTCCGGAAAGCGGTGGCGCGCGGTGTCCCGCCGGTGTCCCGCCGATGTCCCGCTTGCGGCTGGGCCCCGGCCGGACCAAATGATTCTCCCTCCGGCAAGCGGTGGCGCGCGCGCGGTGTCCCGCCGGTGTCCCGCCGGTGTCCCGGTGTCCCGCTGGTGCAAAAACGATAGTGAGACCGATGACGAAATGAATTGTGAGATCGATAGTGAGATCGACATGAGACCGCTAGTGAGATCGATCGTGGGATCGATAGTGAGATCGATAGTGAGATGAATAGTGATATCGATTGTGAGATCAAGTGGTATCGATAGGGAGATCGTTAGTGGGATCGATAGCGAGATCCAGCGTGAGATCGACAGTGAAATCGATCGAGTGAGATCGATAGTGAGATCGATCGAGTGAGATCGATAGTGGGATTGATGGTCCCATCGATCGTGAGACCGATAACGACATCGCTTGTGAGATCGATGGAGAGAGATCGATAGTGAGATCGATGGTGAGATCGATAGTGAGACCGATGATGTCATCGCTTGTGAGATCGATAGAGAGATCGATTGTGATATCGATTGAGTGGGATCGATAACCCCATTTAGTGAGACCGATAGTGAGATCGATCGAGTGAGATCGATAGTGTGATCGATTGAGTGAGATCGATTGTGAAAGCGATAGTGGCCCATGGCTGGCCCCCCCCTCCCCCCCCCAAACCTCCTTCTCACCCGCAGGGTGGTCGTATAGGTAGACTAATTCGGTAAAGTCCCATTCGGCGTGGAAGACATGCTTGTCGCGCGTGCCCCCACGAGGGATCGCGGCCCCTGGAGCGCGGGCGCAGCGCGATCTACGAGTGATCGCGGCCCTGGGAGCGCGGCCCAGCCGTAATGCGTTCGTTTCAGGGTCCGTCGCGTGTGGCCCCTTGCTGGGTCCGCGGGGTTTGGGGGAGCGAGGGTCTGGGGGAGGGGAGTGGGGGGTTTGTCCTCTCCCCCCCCGCTCCTGCCTGCCTTCTGCGTGCATTCAGGGTACCTTCGCTGATTTTGACGCGCGTACTTCATCGGACCTTCGGCGTACCTTCAATAACGCTTCTCATTAAAAAGCAATACAGAAACCGCGTACTTTCAGCGTGCCTGCAACGCGTATGTCCGACGTGCCTTCAGAGTACCTTCGGAATATGCCCTTTTACCGGTGGCCGAGCGAAATTTAAGATGCATCTTGGCATTGGGAGCGCGAATCCAGCGTGATTTGCGAGGGGGCGTGGCACTGGGAGCGCGAACGCTATGTAATTCAGGAGGGATCGTGGCCTTGGGGGAGCGGACGCAGCATCAAGTGATCGTGGCACTGGGAATGTGGGCCCGGCGGAATTTGCAATGGATCGTAGCCCAGCGAGCGCGGACGCAGCGTAATTTTCGAGGGATCGCGTGGTCCTTGACATCTCGACTAATATCGGGGCGCGGAGATCCTAGGAGGCTCCAGGCGATCCGCTGCGCGTCCCCTGGCACGGTCCCTGACGCGTTCCCTGGCACGCGTCGCCTAGCACGGTCCCTGGCACGTTCCGTGGCGCGTCCCCCTGGCAAGTCGCGCGGCGCGCCCCTTGGCACGTCCCGTGGCACGTCCACGGGCACGGTCCGTGGCGCGTCCTCTTGGCACGTCCCGCGGTGCGTCCCCATGGCACGTTCCCCGGCGCGTTCCTTGGGACGTTCCGCGGCGCGTCCTCCTGACATGTCCCTTTGCGCGTCCCGTGGTCTGTTCCTTGGTGCGTCGCCTGGCACGTCACTGTGCGGCACGGAACAGCACAACGCAGTATCATCACCATCGATATCTTCAGCATTGCCACTGCCCATCGCCCAATTGAGGTCCGTTGAAGCGTTTTCATGCCTCGCATTTCTAAATCCTTTTTTGGTTTTGTGGGTCGATTCTATTGGGTTCATGGTTCCAGGACCCAGCCATGTAATGCGAGCATTCCCCACACCTATCCTGAGCTATTCGAGCACGCCAAACAAGGGCGGGAATAGTTTCCGTGCTTTTAACTTCGGAGATTCCCGCCGTTTCGGTGGGCCAGGAGCCCGCAGTGTTAGACGTAGCGTGTGAGCCAGTGTATTCAGCCAGCCTCAGCCAGGGTCATCTCATCCTCGAGTGGGGTGGTGTGGTTGTGGGGGTCGGAGCCCTACTCCGAACCCAGACTAAGGCGGTGCGGGTTGGGGATGTTCCATAATTCGAGGGGACCGCCAGCTGAGGTGGGGGCACGGAGCGCTCACAGGTTTCAAGCAGTCGGTTGCCTCAGCGGAACTCGAAGCCATCATGGAAGCCGTTGTGTGTACCCAGGGGCCCATCACGTTGGCGCTCGATTTTGCGATCACCATCTCAGCTTTCACAGGGGACCGGGTATCCTGCACCCGATGAATGCGGTACTTTGGTGTCGTTTCTGGGCCCTGGCCGAGGGCCCGCCACACTGTCACGAGCCATCGCCGCCCAGTCTCTGAGAGAGGGGGCGGACCGCCAACTCTGCTGAGGCTCACCACTGGTGCCGCGGACACGACCACCGAGCCAGGAGCTAAGGGATGCAAGCTGCCAGGTCACTTGTGCGTGTGTGGGTGCTGTAAATGAGCTCACTTGGAAAGTCCAGCGTCCAGCAGTGCCTCGCCGCAGTGGCCCTCGGCAGTGCCCCGGAAGCTCCAGACTCGTACGGCCCGGGCTCACGCGCAGCCAGAATTGCCGAGGCGAAGGTTGGGGGTCGTGGGGGAGCTGATCAGGTGGAGGAGGCTCAGGTGGCATCTGAAAAAGTTGAGGCTCATAAAAGAAAGGCGCCACATGCCAGCGATGCCTGACCCGCCCTTCAGTCGATATTCGTAAGAAAGATGGGAGAGCCGGCCCGCATCCTCGCCTCACACGTAAGAGTGACCCTAGGCTAGAGTGACCTTTGGTGCGTCGGCGCTTCAGTGACGCCCGTGGGGGCCTAGCGCACCGCGCAAGCCAGTGCTGCCGCGCGGCATCAACGATCGGCGGGACGCGCCTCGACAGATCCTTCGCGCCAGCGGGCAACCGTGGAATTCTTTACGCTTCGCGTATCCCCACCAGCCCATCTCAAAACAGCAACTCTTGCGAAGCATGCCGACAGTCGTGTTTTTCAGGCGTGTTTCCGCCTGCCCCCGCATATCTCCCCTGTTCCTCCTTCCTCCCGCCTCCTTGTACATCCTCCTTGTGGTGGGAGCGGGAGAAGGACGAGGCGGAGGAGGAGGGAGAGAAAGCGCTCCTCGTGGTTTGAGTCGTTTGGGGTTTCTCGTCCTGGTGTGAGTCGTTCGGGCCCTTCTTCCTGGTGTGAGTCGTTCGGGCTCTTCGTGGTGTGAGTCGTTCGGGCTCTTCGTCCTGGTGTGAGTCGTTCGGGCTTCTCGTGGTGTGAGTTGTTCGGGCCCCTCGTCCTGGTGTGAGTCGTTCGGGCCCCTCCTCCTGGTGTGACTCGTTCGGGCTCCTCGTGGTGTGAGTCGTTCGGGGCCCTCGTCGTGGTGTGAGTCGTTCGGGCTCCTCGTGGTGTGAGTCGTTCGGGCGCCTCGTCCTGGTGTGAGTCGTTCGGGCCCCTCCTTCTGGTGTGAGTCGTTCGGGCTCTTCGTGGTGTGAGTCGTTCGGGCCCCTCGTCCTGGTGTGAGTCGTTCGGGCTCCTCGTGGCGTGAGGCGTTCGGGCACCTCGTCCTGGTGCAAGTCGTTCGGGCCCCTAGTAGTAGTAGTAGTAGTAGTAGTAGTAGTAGTAGTAGTAGTAGTAGTAGTAGTAGTAGTAGTAGTAGTAGTAGTAGTAGTAGTAGTAGTAGTAGTAGTAGTAGTAGTAGTAGTAGTAGTAGTAGTAGTAGTAGTAGTAGTAGTAGTAGTAGTAGTAGTAGTAGTAGTAGTAGTAGTAGTAGTAGTAGTAGTAGTAGTAGTAAGTAGTAGTAGTAGTAGTAGTAGTAGTAGTAGTAGTAGTAGTAGTAGTAGTAGTAGTAGTAGTAGTAGTAGTAGTAGTAGTAGTAGTAGTAGTAGTAGTAGTAGTAGTAGTAGTAGTAGTAGTAGTAGTAGTAGTAGTACAAGTAGTCGTACCCAAGGCAGTTTGGAGGCCTCTTGGAGATCGTAGAGGGGCCTCTTGGGCTCTCTTTTGAGCCTCTTGGGAGCGTCCGGGGGCCCTCTTGGGCGCCTCTTGGAGCGTCTTGGGGGCCTGTTGGGGCCATCTCAACGTCGTCGTCGCAGTAGTTGTCTCAGTAGCAGTGGCAGTCACTAGAGCAGTGGTCTATATTAGTAGTAGTAGTAGTAGTAGTAGTAGTAGTAGTAGTAGTAGTAGTAGTAGTAGTAGTAGTAGTAGTAGTAGTAGTAGTAGTAGTAGTAGTAGTAGCAGTAGCAGTAGTAGTAGTAGTAGTAATAGTAGTAGTAGTAGTAGTCGTAGTGGTAGTAGTACTGGTAGTAGTAGTAGTAGTAGTAGTAGTAGTAGTAGTGGCCGTAGCACCATGAGTAGAAGTAGTAGTACTAGACTCAGAAGTAGTAGTAGTTTTAGTAGTAGTAGTAGTAGTAGTAGTAGTAGTAGTAGTAGTATTAGTAGTAGTAGTAGTAGCAGTAGTAGTGATGGTAGTCTTAGTAGCAGTAGCGGTAGTACTCGTGGTAGTAGCAGTAATAGGACTAGTAGTACTAGTAGAAGTAGTAGTCTTAGCACGACTAGCAGCAGTAGTAGTAGTCCCAGTAGTAATAGTAGCAGTATTACTAGTAGCAGTGGTAGTGGTAGTACTGGTAGTAGTAGCTGTAGTAGTAGTAGTAGTAGTAGTAGTAGTAGTAGTAGTAGTAGTAGTAGTAGTAGTAGTAGTAGTGGTAGTAGTCGTAGTAGCAGTAGTAGTAGTAGTAGTAGTAGTAGTAGTAGTAGTAGTAGTCGTAGTAGTAGTAGTAGTAGAAGTAGTAGTAGTAGTCGTAGTCGTAGTCGTAGTAGTAGTGTAGTAGTAGTAAGTAGTAGTAGTAAGTAGTAGTAGTAGTAGTAGTAGTAGTAGTAGTAGTAGTCGTAGTAATAGTAGTAGTAGTAGTAGTAGTAGTAGTAGTAGTAGTAGTAGTAGTAGTAGTAGTAGTAGTAGATGATGTAGTAGTCGTCGTAATAGTTGTAGTAGTAGTACTAGTAGTCGTAGTAGTAGTAGTAGTAGTAGTAGTAGTAGTAGTAGTCGTCGTAGTAGTAGTAGTAGTAGTAGTAGTAGTAGTAGTAGTAGTAGTAGTAGTAGTAGTAGTAGTAGGGAGTAGGAGTAGGAGTAGATGTCTTTGGGGAGCCTTTTGGAGGCCTTTTGGGGCGTCTTGGGGGCCGCTTCGCGGCCCCAGGGGCTTGTAGGAGCGTCCTCGGTGCCTTGGGGGAGCCTCTTCGGGCCTCTTGGGAGCCTCTTGGAGGCCGTTTGGGGCGTCTTGGGGGCCTCTTGGCGGCTCCAGGGGCTTCCAGGAGCGTCTTGGGTGCCTCGGGGGAGCCTCTTGGGGCCTCTTGGGGGCCTCTTGGGGGCATCTTGGGGGCCTCTTGGAGGCCTCTTGGGGCCCCTTGGGGCTCTTTGGGAGGGGTCTGGGAGGACTCTTGGGGCCATCTGTCGGGCGATCGATCACAGATGGGGCGAGCATTTTTCTCCATCCCCCCGTCGGGGCCAGAATCCTCGTGAGGGGTGTCGAATTTTAGCCCTCCCAGGAGTCGAAAAAGACCCCTCCAACCACCCGCGGAACGCCCTCTCCAGGCCCAGGGGGAGGGGGTAGGGGGAGGGGTAAACCCCTCCCCGAAGGGGAAGAAGGGGGTTGAGAACAGAGCGGGCTCTCTAAACCACTCACGCCCAAAGGGCTGGTGGGATTCTGCCAATTGGATTCGAACGCTCCGAATGATACCTCGCAGGCGCTGCGCAAGCAGACGTTGCGGGGGCCCGCCACGATGATGGAGGGTTAGGAGCCCACGTGTTTCCACGCTTGTCCCGCTCGGGGGCGTTAGGAACCTACGTGTTGTCATGTTCCCAGGGCCACGATCCCCCGTAAATAACGGCCCTACCGCACGCCCAGAACCACCTGGGCATCTTGGGGCACCCAGACCGTTCAAGCGCTGCAGAGCAAGCCTTTCGCTCGAGATATCCATCGTCGAGCGGGCATGCAAACAAGCCAACACTCCTTCTGCAAAACAAGCGCGGGGCTCGCGACGTCCTCGAGAAACTTGCGCGCAGGGCGCGCCGTCCTCGAGCGGGTGCGCAATAAGACAATGTTCTGTCATTTTATATAAAGTTCTGGGTCTCCGAACCTGGTTATTCAGTTGGGATGCTGCGCAAAACGCTCCTCACTTGTTCTTGAACGAAAAAAACCAGGGGTCTGCAGTCCCCGTTACGCGACAAGGGTCCGAGATGGGGGGCGCTCTATCCTCGAGCGGGCACGCGCGAAACGCATGTTTTTTTTTTCCGAGCTGAAATCTGCCGACCCTGCGCGAACTTGGCACAGGGACACACTAAAGAGAATCCTGGGGCTCCTCATCCTCCTCCATCTTGGGCTCGGTCGCCTTTGACAGTCGGCCAGCCAGTTCGACATGTATTCGCCGACCCGCCAGGCGCGCGAGATGATCGCCAAGAATTTGGGCTACCAGCCCAACTACTACGACTACCGGCTGCGAGAGAAGGACTCGACTCATGTCGGCATGGCGACGAGTTGGAGAAGGAGGAGGAGGAGGAGGATGAAGATACGGGCCCAACTACTACGTACGAGTACTGGCTGCGGTGCAGGGGCTCGACTCAGACCGGCATGGCGGCGAGCAGAAGGAGAAGGAGCAGGAGGAGGTGAAATCTGAGGCTCAGCTACAGTCGGACCTAGGCCAGAAGAACATCTCTTAAGAGAATGTGACCCTCCGTCGGCCGAAACGCACAGAACATCCAAGGGTACCCTCCCCAGGATGCACAAGAACATCCAACAAACATGAAGAACACTAGGGTGGCCCCCCCGGACCGACCCCGATCTTATACATCGGTCCGACGGTACGGGACCAATCACTACTACGGCCACCAATTGCAGGAGCGCCGCGTCGACGCTGCCGCGACCCCAGCGCGGGCGCTCAGGGCGGAGTGCTGCAAGTGGCCCTGATGTTTTGTTGTTGCTCTTCTTCTTCTTCTTCTTCTTCTTCTTCTTCTTCTTCTTCTTCTTATTTTTTCTTACCCCCCCGCCCGCAGCTGCCACAAGCGGCCCTGAATCGGCCGAAATCCAACGATCGGCGCTGTCCGCGAGTCGCGACCGTCCATGGTTGAATGACCCGCACGGTGTCAGAGATGAACGCACAAGTCAAGGGCGCCCTCGAGGCGCGAAGTGATTCGCGCTTCGCGTTTCGGCTCCGATTCCTCCTCATCCTCCCCTTCTCCCCTGGGAGGCGGCGCGAGAGCGCGAAGTTATTCGCACTTCGCGCTTCGCGCAGCGCGAAGCGCGAAGTTGGGAGCCTTTGACAAGTCCTCACGACACGAACCAGCCGCGCGGAATTCACCGCCGCGTTTCTGTTTCGGCAGCGCGCCCGGGGGGAAGGGAGAGGGGGCGGGCCTCCTCGGACGGCTGGAGGCCTTTTGAGAAGCCTAAGCTTTAGTCGGGCCTGTCCCTCTACAGGGGGAAAATTCAAAAACAGTCAAAAAATAGTCTGGGGACTATGTTTTTAGTATTTTTGACAATTTTGGAGCATTTTTGGAGTATTTTTTATGTTTCGTCGAAAATCCCCCTGTAGGGGGACACGCCCGACTTAGTACTAAGCCTTCTCCGAAGACAGAGACGGCTTCTCAGAAGGACAGATGGCTTCTGCAAGCCGCGCCGCCGTTGAGAAGGCTTGCTGTCCTTGGCGTTGCATGCCCCCCCCTCTCCAGCGCGGCTCCAGGCCCAGAGGAGAGCAACATACCGATACCGCTGCCCTTCCCTCGTCGCCACGGCCGGCTCGAAATCTTCGTCAAAGCGGACGAATGCCTGGAGACTGTTTCTTGAAGGGTCCGGAGATAAACTGGGTTATCGGACCCCCCCCCCTCCCCCCGGATAGCATGACCTTGTCCGTCGCGCAGGTCCGAATGACCTTGTCGGTCGCGCAGGTCCGCAGGTTATCGGCCGGCACCTCCCCCACTCCCCCCCATGGTAACCCAGGTTATCACCGAAAAGTGAACGATCTCATGCTCGCTCTGACCCGATCCGACTTCGTGATTCGATGCTGGCCGACCCTGGCCCCCTGAGAGTCCCCGGAAGTCTCAGCCCTTTCCCCAGGACCTGTTTTTGTTTGTCCTGAGTTGTTTTTCTCCACATACCCTGTGGTGGTATGATTTTCTCCTTACCCGCGTCGCACCCGCGTCTCACCCGCACCTTCCCTCCTCACCCCTCCTCCTTCTCCTCCTCTTCCTCCTCCTCCTCCCCCTCGCTCGCACACGCATCAGACGCATTCACACACGCACACACGAACACACAAACACACATGCATCAGACATACACGCACTTACAGCCGCGCGCACACATCATATAACGCTAATACACACCTTGTGCTCATTGCATCATACACACCAGACGCATGCATCACACAGACACACACACACACTACACCCACATGGTACACGTGTCTGTATTCAGCAGCACAGCACACATGCATCACACACACACATCAAACGCATACAGAAGACGCACAGACGCAGACCTAGGCTCTCACATGACACGCACACCACACAACACACCAGAGTCGTGATCTGTCTGTTCTGGCGTGGCACTTTCTCAACACCATGAGGAGTGTGCTGGGGGTGGTCCCGCTATCCGTTGCGGGCTCGCAGGGCGTGGCAGGAATGGCACTGTCTCGACACCACAGGGGGTGCGCAGGGGGTGGTCCCTCAGCGCGGCCTCTATCCGTGACACGCTCGCAGGGCGTGGCAGGAGTGGCCCTTCCTCGACACCACAGGGGGTGTGCAGGGGGGAGAGTCCATCAGCGCGGCCTCTATCCGTCACACGCTCGCAGTTCGTGGCTGGAGCGGCTCTGTCTCGACACCGCAGGGGGTGCGCGGGGGGTGTTCCCTCAGCGCGGTCTCTATCCGTGACACGCTCGAAGCGTGTGGCAGGAGTGGCACTGTCTCGACACCACAAGGGGTGCGCAGGGGGTGGTCACAGGGTGCGCTGGGAGTGGTTTCCCGATCCGATACGGGCTCGCAAAGCGTTGCAGGCGTGGCGCTCCCTCGACGCCACAGGGAGTGCGGTGAGGATGCTCTCCCTTCCCGTTACGGGCTGGCACAGCGTGGCAGGTGTGGCCCTTCTTCGACGCAGGGGGTGCCCAGGGGGTGGTCCCTCAGCGCGGCCTCTATACGTCACACGCTCGCAGTGCGTGGCAGGAGTAGCACTTTCTCGACGCCACAAGGGGATGCGTATGGGGGTGGTCCCTCAGCGCGACCTCTATCCGTGACACGCTCGCAGGGCGTGGCAGGAGTGATATGTTCTTGACAGAACAGGGGGTGCGCGGGGGTGTTCCCTCAGCGCCGTCTTTATCCGTCACAATCTCTCAGGGCGTGGCAGGAATGGCACCGTCTCGACACCACAGGGGATGCGCAGGGACTGGTCCCTCAGCGCGGCCTCTATCCGTGACACGCTTGCAGGGCGTGGCAGAGGTACCACTGCCTCGACACCACGGCCTGCGTGGCATTTGCTCGACACCGGAAGGGGTGCGCTGGAGGACCCCGCCCTTCCGCTGCGGGCTCGCAAAGCGTGGCAGGCGCAGCACGCCATCGACATCAGAATGGGTGCGCAGGGGGTGGCCCCGCACATCCGCTGCGGGTTCGCAGAGCGAGGCAGGCGTGCCATTTCCCCGTCAACAGAGGCAATGCGCTCGGGGTGGTCCCCGTATTCGGTGTGGACTTTCAGATCGCGGCAGGCGTAGCACTTCCTCGACACCAGGAGGTGCGCTGGGGGTTGGTACCCCTGTCCTTTGGGGCACGCGCAGTGTGGCAGTCGTACTACGCCCTCGGCACTAGAAGGGGTGTGCTGTGTGTGGTCCTCCTGTCTGTTGCGGGCTCGCAACAGCGTGGCAGGCTTGGCAACCCGCCGTCGCCAGAACTCGGTGCGCTGGGGGTTGCCCCCCTATCCGCTGCGGGCCCGCAAAGCGTGGCAGTCGTCGTGGCACGTCCTCGACACCACAGGGGGTGCGCTTGGGGGGGAGGGAGCCTAGTCGCCGCGGGCTCACACAACGTGGCAGGCGTTGCATTTCTTCGACACCTCAGGGGGTGCGCAGGGGCTGGTCCCCTATCCGATGCGAGCTCGCAGAGTGTGGCAGGCGCTGTACTTTCTCCACACCTCACGGGGTGCGCTGGGGGTGGTCCCCGTATCCGCTGCAGCGTGGCAATCCGTCGTCACCGGAAGTGGTGCGCTGGGGGTGGTCCCCCTATCCGTTGCGGCCCCGCATAGCGTGGTAGGCGTGGTACCCCCTCGACAGCGCAGGGGGTGCGATGGCCTCCCCCCCCAGTCGCGGCGGGCTCGCGCAGCGTGGCAGGCATTGCAATTCGCAGATCTCCAGCACCACAGGAGGTGCGTTGGGGGTGGTGCCCCTACCCGCTCCGGGCTCGCAAAGCGTGTCATGCGTGGCACTTCCTCGACACCACAAGTGGGTGCTGTGGGGGGTCACTCTATCCGATGCTGGCTCGCAACGCGTTGCAGACGTTGCACTTTCTCTACGCCAGAGGGCTTGGGGGTGGTCCCCGTATCTGTTGCGGGCTCCCAAGCGTGGCAGGCGTTGCAATTGCTCGACAACATAGGGGGTGCGCAGGGGGTAGTCCCTCAGCGCGGCCTCTGTCCGTGACACGCTCGCAGGGCGTCGCAGGGGTGATATGTTTTCGGCACCTCAGGGTTTGCGCAGCGGGTGGTCTCTCAGCGCGGCCTCTATCCGCGGCGCGCTTGCAGGGCGTAGCAAAAGTGGTCCTTTATCGGCACCGCTCGGGGTGTGCAGGGGGAGGTTCATCAGCGCGGCCTCTATCAGTCACACGCTCGGAGTTCGTGGCAGGAGCGGCACTGTCTCGACACCGCAGGGGGTGCGCGGGGGGTGTTCCCTCAGCGCGGTCTTTATCCGTGACACGCTCGCAGGGCGTGGCAGGAGTGGCACTGTCTCGACACCTCAGGGGGTGCGCAGGGGGTGGTCCCTCAGCGCGGCCTCAATCCGTGACACGCTCGCAGGGCGTGGCAGGAGTGGCACCTTCTCGAAGCATGGTGGTCTCTCAGCGCGGCCTCAATCCGTGGCACGATATTTCCTTGACACCACATGGGGTGCGCAGGGGGTGGTCCCACAGAGCAGCCTCTATCCGTGACACGATCGGAGGGCTCGGCAAGAGTGGCACTTTCTCGACACCACAGCACGCGTGATACTTCCTCGACACCAGAAGGGATGCGCTGGGGTCAGTCCCCCTTATCCAGTTCGGGCTCGCACAGCGTGGCAATTGTTGCACTTCCTCGACACCAGAAGAGGTGCGCTGGGGGTGGCCCCCTATCCGCTGATGGCTCGCAGGGCGTGGCAGGCGTGCCATTTCCTTGTTACCACAGTGGGGTGTGCTGGGGGTGGTCCCCCTATCCGCTGCGGGCTCGCAGGGCGTGGCGGCTGTGGCACTTCCTCGACACCGCAGGGGGTTCTTTCGGGGTGGTCCCCCTATCCGTTGCGGGCCCGCAGAGCGTGGCAGGCGTGGCAACCCGCTGCGGGCTCGCAGGGGCTGGCAGGCGTGCCATTCCCTTGTCACCGCAAGGGGGTTCGCTGGGGGCGTTCCCCCCGTCCGCTGCGGGCTCGCAGGGCCTGGCAGGCGTGGCACTCTCTCGACAGCGCAGGGGGTGCGCCGGGGGTGTTCCCCGTATTCGCTGCGGGCTCACAGGTCGTGGCGGGCGCGGCACTTCCTCGATACCACAAGGGGTGCGCTGGGTGTAGTGCTCCTCTCCGTGCCGGGCTCGCAGCGCAGCGTTGCTCTTCCTCGGCGCCATTGGGTGCGCTGGGGTGGTTTTCCCTGGCCGTTGCTGGCTCGCAAAACGTGGCGTGCGTGGCATTTCCTCGACACCATAGGGAGCGGCTCTGCCGCCCTGCTCCTGCTGCTGCTCCACCTCTTTCGACCCTTGTCCTCCTGTTTCTCCTTGATGACCCAGGCTGCTGACAGCCGTGCTTCTTTCTCTCTCGTTCTCTCTCTCTCTCTCTCGTTATCTCTCTGTGCCTGTGTATTTCTTTATGTCTTACTCTTTCTCTCCCTTTTCTCCCTCTCTCTTTCGTTCTTCCTCTCTCTCTCTCTCTCTCTTTACTTCTCTATATAATTATCCCTCCGCCGTCTTCGCTGGAGGAGTGCTGCGGCTGCTCCTCGTACAACTACAAGACTTGGGGCGATTGGCTGCTGCGGGAAGATGTGGCCAAGGCTGGCCGTTCCAGTGCCCCTCCACCTGCTCGCAGCCTCGCAGTCCTCTCCTCGTTCCCCGCCTTCTATATTACTTCGTTCACGTTGTCCAGTCTCTCAGTTTCCTCGTTCTGGTTCTTGCCGTCCTGCCTCGCATAGTCCATGGTCCACCTGATCATCTTTACTTTTCTTCTGCTCCCCCCCGCCCCCTGCCGGACATCCCCTTCGTGTTCCTCTCTCCCTTCTCCTTAAGTCCGCCTTTTGGGTACGGTCAACCTGCCTCCCTCCCTCCGCCCTTCCTCTCCCCGTCCCTGTTATTTATCTTTCTTGTTCCGCCCTCATCCGCTTGCCAGTGCTTAGTTTTAGTCTGGTGAATTACTCTAGTGTTTTGTTGTATCGCCTGTGATAGTTTGAATATCCGAACTGCCGCTCAATACTTCTCTCTGTTTCTCTGTGCCACCTGCTTGACACGCTTGCTTGCTCTTGCGTGCCTACATACAGTGATCTGATTATATTTTCTCTGGCTGTTCTTTGAGGTCAACTCTGGCAGGTGACAGTTTGGGGTCATCGTTACCAGATCGTTGCTGCATACAGGCGCCGTAGGCTCGAGTATAGCACATGAGGAGTAGACGGTGAACATCGTATGCACATTGAGAGTAAGACGGTGAGAATATGCAGTCGAGAAACGCATGGGACATAGCACGATGCAAACGCGCAGGCAGCAGTTAAAGCTAAAGTTGGCTAGCAGGGACAGGTGCGGCAGGGACCCTTGGGCGAGCTTCGATGCCCACCAGTCAGATTAAATTCTGCCAGCAGCAACTGGGCAGGAGCCTACGGCCCCCCCTATGGCCCACCAAGGTCACCAGCCAGGACAACTAAGGCAAGGATACATTGACACGGAGCCAGCCGCCCGCCCACCATCTTGAGGTGGACCCCACGGACAACCATTACGAACACAGCTTGGGGCCCTGGTGGTCGGGATTCCGCGGCGATCGCCACGAGACCCAACACGCACAGCAGCCAAGACTGGGGCCATGTGGGTGCGACTCCATGGCCAATTGCCCCGACAACCAACGCGTCTCGTGAAACGAAGACCACAGGGCCTTGTGGGCGGCACTTCTTGGTCGTCAGCCACGGACGCCAGCACGGGGGCAGTCAGGTCTGCGTCCTTGGGCCCCATCGCGAACCATCTTGAAGCCTGGCACACAACGACTGCTGGTCTTTGACCCTTTCGACGTGGCCCCATGGCCGGCCGCCATGACGACCAATACATTGGCGCGACCAAGGTTTTGTGGGCGGAGCCCCCTGGCCAACCACCGCGAAACCCGAGTCACTGGGGCGGGCGGGACCTTCACCGCGGCCACCCGCGACGAACGCCAACATAGAGGCGTAACGATGACACGTGTTATCAGGGCGGGACCCTACGACCAGCCACCATGGAAGCACAAAGCGCCACGATGTCAGCCATTTCAGGGGCAAGTGGCACTCCCCATTCGTATTGACAGGCAGCGTCTTGGGTCAGATGAACTGGAAGTTGTTCGCGATCAATGTGCACACCGCAAACAAGCAAGACAGCAGGGACATAACATGAACACACACCCACACACCATTGCGCGGGCGTCAAGTATAATTTCTGCCAGTGGCGCGGGATAGTTGGATTCCAGAACGATGGTGTGTTTTGTCTGCTTGAGATTGTCTCTTTGATTGTGCCTTGTATCCTTCAACCGGAGGCGCTCAATGTGTGTGGGGACGCTGGCACGAAAGCATTTGGCGGCTGCGCCGCGGGGTGCATCAGCCTGCCCGACTTCGACAAGGAGCCCAGCCCATCGTGTATTTTTCTACGACGAATCATGTTTCGCCAGGGGGCACAGGTAACGCAAGAGGACTGCGGCTGACGTGCTTACGTAGTATTTAGGCATTATGCGTCTGGGTGGCCTTCCTCCAACAACTCACTTGCAAGAGCACGCATGTTCAATCCTCATATCTGACAGACGAGGTGTTGTTCCGAAGCTAGGTGTACATGTTCACAGGGCTGAGTGCGGTCGTCACGATGCTGATGCCGCCAACCAGTGTCGCCGAAATCGCAGCCAGGACTGCGATTGCGATTTGAGGGCGCTGTGTTAACAACGCCTGCACACGGAGTCGTGGCGCCGTGGCGTGGTTGTGTCGTGGACGGTGGTGGTGTGGTGTCGCGATGTCGGGCGTGTCATGATGCCGTGATGTCGTGATGCCGTGATGTTGCAGCGGCGGGGCTTCTTGGTCTCGTGAAGTCGTCGAAGATGGAAACCGAATGGCCAGCGGTAGAGGACGGTGCGAGGCCTGTCTTGCGTGCTTCTCTTGCCAGTGGTGGAGGTTCACAGTCTTGACCTCAGCCTTAGCTTGTCTTTGAGGCGGGGCAGTAAACGTCGACGTGGGAAGCGGCGCAGGAGGTGCAGGGTCTCGCTACGCGAGCGGGTTTTGTTTGGCAGGTTCCATCTTGACGAGTTTCACAAGCTAGTGCTGAAGCGAAGAGCGAAAGCGAACCGTGAACCGCAAGCGTATGTTCTTCCCACCCCAGACCTCCTGATTGGCCGCAGGCTGTAATACGAGCAGCCCTCGGCCGATGCTGGGGTGGTTCGGATTGGGCGGGGCCGCAGCTTTCGACCGCTCCGTCTCGCTCTCAACGAAGAATCCTGCACCCCCCGCGCTCCCTGCCTCGTCGGCGCTCAGTGTTAGGAATTGCGCACGGTTTCCAGAAGGTTTGCTCTCCTACCGCATGCCGTCAGCAGTGCCCAGTTTTGGCTGTCCATCTGCGGTTCCACCCTCAGCCTGATCGTCAAAATGAGCATTGCAAGGATGATCGGGGGGGGGGGAAATATGAGATGGTGGAGGTGACGGAGGAGGAGGAGGAGCTGGATGAGTATGATGGTGATGCTGCTGATGATGATGATGATGATGATGATGATGATGCAGCTGATGCTACTGCTGCTGATGATGATGATGTTGATGATATTGATGATGATGGTGATGGTGATGATGATGAGGATGTTGCTGCTGATGATGATGATGATGATGATGATGATGATGATGATGATGATGATGATGATGATGATGATGATGATGATGATGATGGTGATGATGATGAGGAGGATGATGATGAGGAGGAGGAGGAGAGGAGAAGGAGCAGGAGAAGGAGGAGGATGAGGACGACAACGACAACAAGGAGGCAGAGGATGAGGTTCAGGAGGATGAGGAGGAGGAGGAGGAGGAGGAGGAGGAGGAGGAGGAGGATCAGGAGGAGAACGCCACAGTCGCTGACTTAGGTTTGGGCAGCTCAAAAAAAGGAGAGGAGGAGGAGGAGGAGGAGGAGGAGAGGAGGAGGGAGGAGGAGGAGGAGCAGGAGGAGGGGGGGAGAGGAGGAGAAGGAGGAGGAGGAGGAGGAGGAGGAGGAGGACGACGACAAGGAGGCGGAGGACGAGGTTCAGGAGGATGAGGAGGATGAGGAGAGGGAGGAGGAGGAGGAGGAGGAGGAGGAGGAGGAGGAGGAGGAGGAGGAGGATCAGGAGGAGAACGCCACAGCCGCTGACTTAGGTTTGGGCAACTCAAAAGGAGGAGGAGGAGGAGGAGGAGGAGGAGGAGGAGGAGGAGGAGGAGGAGGAGGAGGAGGAGGAGGGGGAGGAAGAGGAGGACGAGGACGAGGACGAGGACGAGGACGAGGGCTTTGACAGACGTCCTGGGGTCTTCTGCATCGTAGCTATCGCGACCAGCCCTAGCCCTGCCCCAGTCGGCGACGGCCCGCCCTCGCTGCGCTGTCCTCCCAGCCTCATCCGCTCGAGGCGGGCCTTTCGACAGAGATGTGGCTGATGACTTCCATTAGCCAGGCTGCCTCAAAACCAACCGCTCGAGGACAGCTCCTTCGACGCCAAGGAGGCTATGTCTCAGGCGCTGGAAGACGGCGTGAAGGTGACGCTCTACTACGGGATGCAGGATCAGCCCTTGCGGGCCAGCTCCTGACATTGGCTCGCCATCGAGGGACAAGGGGTTGACGTCTTCCTGTCGGCGGAAGCCGACGGAATGCCAGTGGAAGCCAGAGAGAGAGAAAGAGAGAGAGAGAGAGCACAATGAGGGAGGCCCCGCTGACGCAACCTTGGCAGGAGCCTGGCGGAGGCAAACGTAGGCAGAGGCAGACCCACCGAGGGGGAGATCAGTCTTGGCGTGCCCGGACTTTGCAGAGCCAGCCGTGTGGTGGCGGCGCAGGCCAGGCGCGCGCGGGGAGAAGGGTGACGGGTCCTCCTGCGGTCTCCGCGGGCCTCCCAAGCTCTCCCGGAGCTCCTTGGGGCCTCCCGTGGCCTCCTGCGCGGCCCCCCCTTCCCTGGAAGCTCTCGTTGGTCCCTTCGTGTGGGTCGATGGTCAGGTTGAGGCGCTCTCTTTTCCCCGCTTCCCCCGGTCCTCTCGCACGCGGCACGCTCGTTGCTCTGTCAGGCCACGGTCCAAGGCATTTTTCTGCCTATCGCGGGTCGGCTCGAGTGGTGTTCCCAGTTCGCTGGGTGATTCCTCTCGCTTCGCGAGGTGCACGTCCGGAGCACGTACAGTCCAGTCGTTGTCGGGCCTCTGGGAACTTCTCGGGGGCCCCATTGGAGGCCTCTTTGGGGCCTCTTGGGTCCTCGCGGGGGCGTCTGGGAGCCTCTTGGGGGCCTCTGGGAGGCCTCTTGAGGGCCTCTCGGAGCCCCGAGTGGGCGTCTTGGGGGCGCTCTTGCGCTGTCTGGTCCCTTCGTGTCTTTGGGTACTCTTGGGCCATCTTGGGGGCCTCTTGGGGCATCTCGGCGGCCTCTTTGGGCTGTCTGGGGGCCCTCTTGGGCAGTTTTGAGGTCCTCTTGAGGGCTTCTTGGGCCGTCTGGGGGCCACTTCGGAGGCTGTTTCGGCCGTCCTGGACCTCTGAGAGTCGAAATAGGTGGGAACGCTGAAATCAGCAAGAAAAAACAATAGGAAAATCAATGGTTTTTGGCTTCTGGAGGTGCTCTTGGGGGTCCTCTGGGGGCCTTCTTGGGGCGTCTTGGAGTCTTTGCAGGCCCTCTTGGGGCCATGTTGGGCAGTCTTGGGGCCGTCTTGGGCCGTCTTGGGGCCGTCTCGAGCCGTCTTGAGGCCCTGTTGGGCCCCCAAGAGGGCCAACAGGCCCAACTCATTGATTTTCTATAGGTTTTGGTAGGTTTTCAGGCCCAGGAGGGGAGGGGCCACCTCGGGTCGGTGGAAGTGGCGTTGCCTCGGGGGGGGGTTAGGGGGAGACATAACATTGTAACACAATACAATATGCAGCATTTGTGCAGTCATTGTGTACATTAGGGACTGCTTTGGGGCCTCTCCCCCACCCCTCCTTTTTCATACTCCCTCCCCATCTACCCTTCCTGCGCCGGCTCTAATCATGGGCGCCGCCGTGACCAACTTCCACCTGGCTGGCGCTGCGCCGCAGGTCGCCCAGGCGGAGATATTAACATTACATTCCAGTCGTTGTGTGGCGTTTGGGGGGCTTCTTTGAGGCCTCTTAAAGGCTTCTTGGGGATTTCTTGGAGGCCTCTTGGGGGCTTCTTGGGGCACCTTAGGGGCCTCTGGGGGCCCTCTTGGGGCCTCTTGGGGGAGTCTTGAGCCGTCTTGGGGCGCTTACGCGCCGTTTCACCCCTTCCCTTCGAAGGCAGTCTTTGGGGCCTCTCGCGGTCGCCCTGGGGCTCTCTTGGGGTCTTTTTGGGCCGTCTTTGGGTCCGTTTGGACCGTTTTGGGGGCCTGTTTGGGCCGTCTTGGGGCCCGCTTGGGCCGTCTTTGGGGCCTTCTTGGGGGCTTACTGGGCCGTCTTGGGGCGATGTTGGAGGCCTCTTGGGCCGTCATGGGCCTTTGAGGGTAGATAAATGCGAGAACGTACAATTGTCAAACAACCATCGGAAAATCAATGATTTTGGCCTCTGGAGGCGCAGTTGTGGGCGCTCCTGGGGCCCTCTTAGGCCGTCCGCGGGGCTTCTTGGGTTCTCTTGGGGCCATCTTGGGCCGTCTTGGGGCCGTCTTGGCCCGCGCAAAGGCCATCTTGAGCCGTCTTGAGGCTCTCTTGGGCCCCTGAGAGGGCCAAAAGTTCCCGAAGCATCGAGAACCCATAAGTTCTTGTAGGTTTTCAGGCCCAGAAGGGGTCCACCACTTTTGGGTCGACGGCTGTGGCGTGACCCCCGGGGGGGAATTAGGGTGGGAGACATAATAAGGTAACACAGTGCAAAATGTAGCACATATGCGACAATTTGATCTGAGTGAGAGGGGGCCCGAACGGTCATTCACTGTCCCTTGGTGCGTGGCTGAAGTGGGGGTCCACGGCGAGGATTCTTGTTGTTGTTTTGTTGCGTCGTCCCCCCCCCGCTCCGCGACCCGCCCGCGACCCACCCGCGATCCACCCGCGACCCACCCCGCGACCCACCCGCGACCCACCCGCGACCCACCCCGCGACCCACCCGCGCGACCCACCCGCGACCCACCCACGACCCACCCCGCGACCCGCCCGCGACCCACCCGCGACCCACCCGCGACCCACCCGCGACCCACCCGCGACCCACCCCGCGCCCGCCCCTCACTCTTATCCGCAATTGCGGGGTGCTACGTACATTGGGTACGTTGCATTATCCCCTCCGCAGAAAACGCTGCCTCTCAGCACGTCACTTCCGGACGTGGCTTCTTCTCGCTTCGCGGGGTGCACGTCCGGAGCACGTACAGTCCAGTCGTTGTAGGACTTTTGAGAATTTCTTGGGGGCCCCATTACAGGCCTCTTTGGGGCCTCTTGGGTCCTCGCGGGGGCGTCTGGGAGACCTCTTGGGGGCCTCTGGGAGGCCTCTTGGGGGCCTCTCGGAGCCCCGTGTGGGCGTCTTGGGGGCGCTCTTGCGCTGTCTGGTATTCTTGGACCGTCTTGGGGGCCTTTTGGTGCATCTCGGCGGCCTCTTTGGGCTGTCTGGGGGCCCTCTTGCGCCGTTTTGGGGCCCTCTTGAGGGCTTCTTGGGCCGTCTGGGGGCCACTTCGGAGGCTGTTTCGGCCGTCCTGGACTTCCGAGAGTCGAAATAAGCTGGAACGATGAAATCTTCAAAAATCCGAAAGGAAATCAAATATTTGGGTTTCTGGAGGTGCTCTTGGGGATCCCCTTGGGGCCATCTTGGGCCTTCTTGGGGCCTTGTTGGGCCCCCATGGGGCCATCTTGGACCATCTTGGGGCCGTCTTGGTCTGCACAGAGGCCATCTTGAGCCGTCCTGACGCCCTCGTGGCCCCCCAAGAGGCCCAAGAAGCCGAAACCATATATTTTACATAGTTTGTGGTAGGTTTTCAGGCCCAGAAGGGGTCCACCACTTCTGGGTCGACGGATGTGGCGTGACCCCTGGGGGGGGGTTAGGGGGGAGACCTAATATTGCAACACAATACAACACGTAGCAAATATGCAGCAATTTGATACATTGGGTACGCTGCATTATCGCCTTCCGCAGAAAACGCTGCCGCTTAGCACGTCACTTCCGGACGTTGATTCTATTGGCTTAAGCCACATCCGCCGACCCTTATATAAACTATTGCGCCTCCAGGACTGCATTTCACGATGCTTGTCCGAATCATGACACTGTGCTCGACATCGTTCCTGTTGCTTCGTTGCTGTTATCGTACCTCCTGGTGCTCTTTTGTGGCCTTCTGGTGGCATCTTGGCCTGTCTGCAGGCCATATCCGGCCGCCTTGAGGCATCTTGGGCCAGTTTTGGGGCCCTCTTGGAGGCTTCCTGGGGGCTTCTTGGAGGCCTTTGAGGTTCTCTTGGTGGGGTTCCCTCCGGGCCTCTTGGGGTGTTCTTGGGGAAGGCTGGGGGCGTCTTGGGGCCGAAGGCTTGAAAGGTGCCTTCTAAAATCCCTCTTGGAGCCGTCTGGGGGCCCTCTTGGGCTGTCTTGGGGGCTTCGTGGGCTGTTTTTGGACCCTCTTCGACCCCTCTTGGGGGTCCCTTGTGCCGTCCGGGGGCGATATTGAAGGTTTCTTTGCCCGTCTTGGACGTTGTGAAAGCCGAAGACGCGCGTGTGCAAAACATGTTGTTTTTTTTTCAAAGGAATTTGACGATTTTTGTTTCTTGGGGCCCTCTTTGGACGAATCTTGGGGGCCTTTTGGGGCGTCTTGGCAGCTTCGGAGGCTGTCTGAAGGCCATCGTGGGCATCAAGGAGCGATATTTCGGTGACCCGTGTCCCTCTGGGACCGTCTGGGGGGCGTTTTGGTGACTTTTTTTTGTCCCCTTTTGGAGCCCTCCGCTCCCCCGTGGCGCGTTCCCTCCGGGGTCGGGCCGGGCCAGGGGGGGGATCAAATTGCCGGTTTGGGGTCCCAGGGGGGGGGATTACGGGGGGGGGAGAATCTCACACGCCTAGAGACCCACAAGGGGTCGGCGGACTTTTGCCCGCTCCAGGAGCCCACTTCACTTCTTGGCGCCTCCCGGGCCCTCCCGCAGCGCACTGCGGCGCGCGCCCGCGCGCGGGGCGGCGCGCAGGACACGGCCTGCAACTACGTGGGGGGCTACGCGCTGGCGGCGTCGCTGAGGCGGGCGGGGGTCGCCGACGGAGAGAGTTGCGTGCTGCTGGAGCTCCAGTCCGACATCCACTTGGCATCGCTCGGACGTGTGGATTTTTCCTTCGGCGAGGACCATCGAGGAACATCCTTGATCATTTCGCGAAAAAGCCCCGCACGAAACCGAACAAAAACAGGGAATGGACGTCCGAGCGATGGCCAGTCCAAAAACACGCAGTTGTTTTGAAGCCGAATCCTTTCCCGGAAACACGCACGCCTCTCTTAGGTTGCTTGGACGCCGAGTTCGACCTCCAAGAGCACGCAGTTCTCTCTCGCACCAGCACCGGTCCTGACCGCGTCAATCCGGACCCGTCAATCCGGACCCGGGATGGGCGCACACGTCTTCAAGGGTGTTCGCGCTTCGGTCGGTTCTGCTGTGTCGCAGTCGGCTGCGTTCGGTTGCGTTCGGTCGGTCCGGTTTGGTCGGTTGTTGTGTCGTTGCCGGGTCGTTGCGTCTTTCCAGGCCGCTTGCGGCCTGTCGACTTCGGTCGGTTTTCGGTTTCGCTGCCGCCGTGGACGGCCTTGATCTTCCCGGTTTGGCCGAGAGGGCGGATAGACAGTTGTACAGAGTCTGGGCCCAGGGTGTCTGAGGTTCGGGCCACGTCCACCTTTTTGGGAACCGATCTCCTGGGACCTAGGGTTGCGGTTTATATGCGAATCTGCGGGCCGCAGTTGTCCATGTCCACAGCCTCCTGGGGTCCTGGGAAGTCGGTTCCCAGAGTGGTGGTGACTCATTCAGTCAAAGCGAGCCTTAGTTACGGACGAGCCTTTGAATAAAGGGACCCATGCATCCTTCGGTTCTGAGCATGCCTGTCATGTGTGCCTGCTTCCACGGCCCAGATCTGGCGCTCCCTGGGCGCATTGCATTCTTAGGCCTCTGGGGAATCTTGGCTGCCAATCCTGGCCTCGGAGGAGTGCGCCTGGCCAGGACGACTCCTCGGTGTCCTACCCTCGGTGGACAGCTGAGGAGCACCCTCGGCATCGTCGGCTGGCCAGAATGACCCCAGGGCAGCGGATACGGCGCCAGAGGAGACGCTGTGTCCAGGCGGCGTCGTCCACCCGTAGGGCGACACCTCGTCATCGTATGAGGAGTGCCCCACGTGGGTGGCGCAGTCCTGGAGATCCGACGTGCATAACTGTTTTTGTTGTCAATGCGGGGTCACCAGGTTTCCCGCGCCTTTCCCCGTAGCCAGTGACTCATCCCTGTTGTTTGAAAGCTCCACGCCCGGCGAGAACCCCGAGAGCCCAAAAGCAGCGAACACAAATCCGTATTGCTTATTCAACACACTTGAGATCTGGGCTTTGCAAATAATGCGATGTGCCTGGTCAGGATCGGTGAAGGCGCATGGCTCGCCTCCTTCTTGCGTACATTTCGGTCCGCCTGATCC